ACATCATTATAATTTGTTGTAAGTCATTAGTGAACAGAACATTTACAACCTTGTTGTATGTGAAAATTTGCCTATCACGATGAAACAAGACAGGTGTGACAACAACCAATATAAGTCAAAGATTGAATTAAAAAAATCTGGAAGTTTAATGACAAGATCACCAAATGCATGGTTGTGATCTTGAATTTTTAACACGGAACAATTTATCTTGAAGCATATCTGATCAAGAAGACATACAACATGTTTGATAGCTCTTTGCTATTAAATCTTCGCTTAATAGATCCAAATAGTAAAAAAATACATTTGTCATACTCATACACTTGTTTTAGAATCAAAGGTTGTAAATAAAATATGAGAATAATCATGTACTGTTCTTAGAGATCTCTCTTGTAATCATTGTTGTAAGTAGATGGTTTCAGCCTCAACGTCTTGTCAAGATTCATGACCTTGAGCTTGCACTTCACTTGCTTCTCTCGAAGAATATAGTCACCACGTCCGTCGCATTTGACTATGTCTTATCTTGCTCTTCTAAACTTAGGGGTGGTCATCTCGTTTCATCTAACACTGAAAGCTCTCCCTTGTGCAGATGGAGTGAAAAAATATTCTTTTTCATTCATTTGAAACTTTTAAAACTATCGTCCACTAGTAGCTTTGCTTAAATACACCAGCACTTGCCGACTGATAAATCATCCAATTTTATAACAAATTTACTCTTGTCAATATAGCTGTTCCACGCCCTACTTCAAATCCTTCGCATGAAGGACTCCTCTTGCCTTGATTGATATTGAGTTACCTCGCTGTTGCCAAGCAAGCACTGCCCAGAAATCAGGTCAAGAAATGGGTAGTAAGGATGGAATAACAACTATAGGGTGTTCGACCAATCAAATAATATCGTATTATTGGGGATGCAGTACTTACTACACCCTATAGTAAGTAACTATAGGGTGTTTGACCAATCAATAAGACCGTATAGTAACGTGAAGGCTACTTAACCCTTAAGTGAAGAATAACTAACCCTAGGTAAATATATGTACATGATAGATTATCCACTGATTCAGTAGGCTATAAATCATCTACAGTACCATGGAGTTGATATTCGCCTCGGTAGTAATCTAGCCCCATGTTGAAAATGCCCCATTAGAGAGATGGAACACTTACTGGAACAAATGCTCAGCACTTGATGCGTATAATCCACAACGCCACCCTGCTTGATTTCCTCGAGCAACACCAACGTGGCTTGAAGCCCAATATCCGCGGGTGACTGTGGTTCACGTGCATCTGCATCTACAGCACCCTCACCTTCTCCATGTAGAGGAGTTGCAGCTCCTCCCTCTCTCCATCCGCAGGCATCTGAATAATCTGAAATTTCTCTCATGGTTGGAGGCTAAACCCCGGAACGGCCATGCGAAGGACCTTGAAGTTTGAATCTCCTCTGGTCACGCCCAAAATGTCAAGCTTTTGGGAGAACCCTGAGCCATGTGGAAATGCCGACCCGTTCATGGCGAAGATGGTTGACTGCACCGGAGCTGCTGACTGACAGAGCGAGGCACCAGCTCTGCGGCTCACTGTATCGGTTAAGTTGAATGAATGAAACGATGTAAGAAGAGTGCGATCTCGATGAGCGGACGATCTTGGGTCTCGTCCTGTGCTCTGGAATGAAAATGGAATACCTGCACACTCTTGGACTATAAGAGTGAAGCCTGAAAGTTTCCACGCACTAATGATTGAATTATCTGGTTTTATCTACAAGCACTTCATAGCCGATGCAAATCTTGGATGTATCCACGTCTGCGTGCAACCTAGGCTATCTCTACACCGCTTTGAGCATTGAAGAAAGTTGCTTTGTACCATAGTCATTTCTCATTTTCATGAAAGTTCGCTCTGGGTGGACCTGCTTCGCAATAACTCGTTGATCTGCAAACCGTCATATGCATATGGGCGATCATGGGAGATTATATGAAGAAATGATATGATTCTATGATTACGTATGGTTATGGAAATGATGACACGGTTCAAACTGGCACACCTTCGGTTGAGGAATCCAATCTTCCGAGCCGAATCAAACATTCGTACGCCGAGACTCATGCATATGTAACTTGTAATTTTGCTGGAACGTTTTCATTGGATTGCTTGTGTCAACTAAAATTTAATATACAAGCTCTCCGGGAGAGCATTCTTCGAATCGGATCCTATTTTCAACAACCTCACTACTAGATGAGTACAGATCTGTAATGATAAGATCAAATCGTCAGTAGCCGATAATTCTTGAGGAGAACAGGTGATAAAAGAGCAAAAATGTTGGAGAATTTGCTGCAAATCGGTATTTTGCCGATTGCACAAGGTGGTAGATGCAAGTTGGAGACCTTGACTTTTACACCCAGATCATTCATAATCCGGAGTACTAAAGAAGCAAAAATATGTCTCAATGTATGACTCAGAAACACAAGGAAGGAAGGACTGAGTAGATCGTGCATTATCCAAAAAAGGAAAAGAACAAAGTGATCTCTGTGCATTGTACTGGCCAGCCAAGGTCCCACAAAAAGAAGTGTACATCCCACCATCTTCACTGTTCCAAAGCGAACTGGACTCATTTCAGTACAAAGTCAAAATGAGTATTTTAAATAAATGTACAGGAGTGAAAAATATTAATGTAAACATTTTTTAGTTGAGAGTAGATAATGTATATAATATAAAATAATTTTCGAAGATCTGAGGACCAAGAAATATTCTTGTCCCTTTCTAAAATACTTCAAACTAAGAGTCAATGCTAGCAGCTACGTAGTAAATCGCTTGGGTCATCAAAAAGAGAGTGCAAGATTTTTTCCACCTCGAATCTTGTGTGAGCAAAAGTGTTTCTTATTGATACATCGAAGTCATCATTAGATACTTGCAGAATCGAATCACTTTGGGCGGTTTCAAGGGTGTTAATACACAAAAAAGTGACCAGATTCCCTGGAAAAAAGAGAAAAAAAATTTCAAGTAATTTCCGACAAGAGCTTATTTTTTTTGAGATAACACATCTTTCTCTAATATTTGGATGCATTCCGACTTGAATAAGGGATGAAGTTAGGAGTATGTCATCATAAGTGATTATCAAGTGATCACTATTTCATCCCTTCAGGATTAGTTGAACTTGAATGGAATGTGCATCTAGAATTTTGGTGTGTGTAGGTATGTTAATACACACCTTAAAAAGTAACTTACAACGCTTACTCATATAACCTTTTTGTTTCAATTTTAGTTACATCCACTACTTAATCTCTTTACTAGAGTTGTACTATTGAAGTAGAATTTATCTGCATTATTCTTGATGATGCATCTATATTAAACAGATAAACAATAACAGCGCCAAAGAAAAAAAACTACTGAAAAAGCTGAAAAATTGTAAAGTCAAAATCTCTAAAGCAGTTCAGAAGTCCTAAACTAATGTAATACTGTAAATTTTATTGAATGATAACTTGTTCAAAACAATTCATTAGAGCCTGTTTAAGACTTAACACTTTCAGATCGGAAGTATCATCAAATAAAGATGGAGATCACACTGCACATATAATAGAAGTTATTTCATCACAACTTCCAATTTGTAACAAAAATGTATTTGAATACGCTTTCAAAAAAAAAAGGGAGCAACAAAGACATGACATTACACGTTTCCGTTTCAACGATTTTGTCAAGTGAGCAATGTGCTTTATATTTTTCATTTGAGATTTTTGATTCATGATATTAGCATACGAGTGCAAAAGTGGCAGTATGACTTGTTTCATTTTAGTCAATATATCAAATATTTGAGTTTAGATGTACGGTTACATCAGATCTTCATCTGAAGTCACGACTCATTGTTATCTAGCTTTTAGCATCAGAAGTATGTTCAAGTCATGTTTACAGCAAAGTTTCTCTTCAGTTGCAAGCAATGTCTAAAATTATAACTTCAGCAAGTATCATGGTTCTATGGTCTTCTATACCACGAGATAAACAAGCAAAAGTGCTCGTAGCACGGACGAAATAAGATTTCAGTTTCATGTTTGAAGTGTAAAGACCTCCAGACTCTGGAACTTGAACTGTGCTTGTGCTCACATGATTGACAGTTGAGCTAGAAGAACAATCATATCAGCAATCCAGAACCTCGAGTACTCTTCTACTTCGTTCAAAGTTTTTCTACAGTAAGTTTAGAAAACTCCCAAAAAGCTGATCACTTTGTCCTGAACCTACAAGCTACGTAGACAACTGTACCTATATTCAAAGCAAGAAAAAGCCTGGTTGACAAAGCACAATAGACTTTGTCAACCAGGCTGACAGGGCATGTGCCACTCAATTTTCAATTTACATTTACTTGCTTGAATATATCAAATATTTCAGGAAAATGATTTAATGAAGATAAACTTTGAAATCTTTGTTGTCAGCCTGACTAGATTGAGTGCATTCAGTGTGAGTGTGACTCACGAATCCTGTTGGCATGCACAACAAAGTCAACATCTACTTTGATCTTCTAAGAATATTTTGTTCAAAGTTTTTCTACAGTAAGTTTAGAAAACTCCCAAAAAGCTGATCACTTTGTCCTGAACCTACAAGCTACGTAGACAACTGTACCGATATTCAAAGCAAGGAAAAGCCTGGTTGACAAAGCATGTGCCACTCAGTTTTCAATTTACATTTACTTGCTTTAATATATCAACTATTTCAGTAAAATGATTTAATGAAGATAAACTTTGAAATCTTAGTTGTCAGCGTGAGTAGATTGAGTGTGACTCACTTATCCTGTTGGCTTGCACATCAAAGTCAACGTCTTCTCTGACCTTCTAAGAATATTTTTCGACCACAGAGTATGGAGTACACGCTTCGTTTTCGCATGTTGGCTTTACCGCGATCGCTCACACGTTTCAAGGACACGATCTGGTTGAAGACGCTGCATCTTTTTTCCACGCGGTACCCATCGATCGGAGGTTCTTTCTTCCTGTGGGTATTGATGCAGCTAGATTTCCAGTCTCCCATTACAACTTTACATCCAGCTCATACACAACTCAGAGAACTTCCCATGTGCACTATCATGCATTCCTTGAAGTTCTGCGTACACATCGCACATCTTGGCGTGTTTGGGATTTTAGATTGACTTGCAGCAGAGCTGTCAGTTGTTCGGTCACATAAAACGCTTCCCTCCCTTCGAGTTCTCTGAACGCAAACTCGAACGGAGGTGCGCAAATTCGAGTTTGCGTTCCGAGAGGCGCTGAGTCCCGTTTGTCACACGGTATACAATTTCGCTTTAATCCGGAATTCTGGTTTTCTGTTTGTTCGTTTGTCACACGGTATACAATTTCGCTTTAATCCGGAATTCTGGTTTTCTGTTTGTTCATTATGATTCATATCGCTTGTCGTACCTTGCATTGGTTTGGAGCACTCTATCGCTTCCAATTTGCACAATTTCCCTCCGTTCGCAGTGATTGCTGTGGATCTGATTCTATGAATAGCTTGGAGTAATCTTAGTGTCGATATTCATGCAGATTGCACGAAGTTTCATGCCCAGCAAATATTTGCTCACGAGTTGTGACACTCACACGTGAAGATCAGTTTTCCTCGAGAGAGCCTTGCGGATCTAGGAGAGGGACTCCTGTCGGCAAGGTTACATTTCTCCCGCGCATGCCAAGCACAATCTCCTTGCGTTTGTAGTGATGGCTCTTGATCCGATTTTGTGAATAGCTTGGAGTAATCTTCGATTCTCTACTCATGCAGATTGCACGAAGTCTCATGCCTAGCTAGCACTTGCACATGAGTTGTGACACTGCGACGAGAAGATCAGTTTTCCTCAAGAGAGCGTTGCGGATCAAGGAGGGTCTCCTGTCGGCAAGGTTATATTTCTCCCGCGCATGCCAAGCACAATCTCTCTGCGTTCGTAGTGATGGCTCTTGATCCGATTTTGTGAATACTGTAGCTTGGAGTAATCTTTGAGTCTCTACTCATGCAGATTGCACGAAGTCTCATGCCCAGCTAGCACTTGCACACGAGTTGTGACACTGCGACGAGAAGATCTGTTTTCCTCAAGAGAGCGTTGCGGATCAAGGAGGGTCTCCTGTCGGCAAGGTTATATTTCTCCCGCGCATGCCAAGCACAATCTCTCTGCGTTCGTAGTGATGGCTCTTGATCCGATTTTGTGAATACTGTAGCTTGGAGTAATCTTTGAGTCTCTACTCATGCAGATTGCACGAAGTCTCATGCCCAGCTAGCACTTGCACACGAGTTGTGACACTGCGACGAGAAGATCTGTTTTCCTCAAGAGAGCGTTGCGGATCAAGGAGGGCCTCCTGTCGGCAAGGTTACATTTCTCCCGCACATGCCAAGCACAATCTCTCTGCGTAGTGATGGCTCTTGATTCGATTTTGTGAATAGCTTGGAGTAATCTTCGAGTCTCTACTCATGCAGATTGCAAGAAGTCTCATGCCCAGCTAGCACTTGCACACGAGTTGTGACACTGCGACGAGAAGATCAGTTTTCCTCAAGAGAGCCTTGCGGATCCAGAGGGCCTCCTGTCGGCAAGGTTACATTTTTCCCCTGCATGCGAAGCAGCAAACGCTTCTTTTTCTGCCAGAGTGGAGGAGAACATGGAAGGTGCAGGGGCGTCCATCGTCAGTGACGCTGCTCAAGTCGCTACAGGAGAAATGGACTCTGCAGAGGAGGAACCGGAGGAAAGCTCCGGTTCCTCTTCGGAGGAAAGCTCCGGTTTCTCTTCGGAGGAAAGCTCCGAAGAAGTCGAGGACTTCATAAGGCGGCTGGAAGGAAAAGGCAAGCCTATAACACAATTGAAGTATGGATCGTTCTGGACGAGATTAGGTCCGCGAAGCCAAATGCGCCTCCGAGTGCTGAAGGCAATCGGCAACTGCAACACCCTTGAGTATCTGGATGTAGCATCTATTTGTGGCGGACATATATCGACGTTGACGGCTAGCGAGTGGGATGTCGTTTTGAGTGGATTCAGGTGTAGCAACGTACTACGAGTGATAAGGATTTCAGCCTTGAAGTGGAGTTCAGACGAGGAAGTGGAGAGGTTGTGTCTAGAGCTGGGGAGAATTCTGAATACGTCTACTGTAGCAGAATTGGAAATCTCCTTTTGCAGATTGAGTGCAAGATGTTTTTTGAATCTCGCATCAGAAATGCGAGGAACGTCTGAATCTAAACTCCAGCAGTTAGTTTTACATAACGTGGCGTGGACGGACTCGAGTGCGTGGAAACATGTCGCTGCCATAATCAACAGTGCTACTCGATTGGAAACTCTGAGTTTAGGTAACTCATATTTCTATATGCCAAAGTGGGACATGGACGAGGAGTTCGTTCGAACCATCTCCGAAGCTATAAATCAGAGGTCGTCTTTGAAAAAATTGACATTAAGCGGCGGGAAGAGGAGTGGAGCATCGGATTTGTTGCGGAAGGTATTTACCAATGGCAACCGGTCGCAACATGATGATGATGGCAACCGGTCGATTGAACATCTTGAGATGTGTGACATGGCTGTACTCGGAAATTGTGTTAGAGATATTTTCATTTGCAAGGAGTTGAGATTGAAGAAGGTTACGTTCGAAGCTATCGAAATGACTCGCGAGGAATGGCGTGTGGTAGGAGAATCCATACGGGTCAATACCACAGTAAAAACTATTGAAATGCTAAATTTACGATTCTGGGAAGATCTAGAAGATGTTGCGTGTGCTGCTAGCTCTGATGACAAGGACCCCATCATGGAGGTTTCACTCCAGACCCTCTGGAGTCACAGACATTGGGTTGATGCGCTTGCACCACTCAACTTTGTAGGAAAGGTTCTGCGCGGGGAAATCAAATCTATAAAATCTTTGGAATATGTAGAGATTATGAAACGGTTTTCAGATACAGATAATTTCCAAGAGAGACTGGAAAGTATCTTCCCGATGAATCGAACAAGTGATTCTTCAGTCCTGAAGAGTCTATCATTACCCGCACAATCTTTAGAGAACTTCCATGAGGAACAGATGTTGTGGAAGCAACTGTTTTTGTTCTTGCGGGGGAACACAACTCTCACTCACTTGACTTTGGCTGATTCTTGGGGACTAGAATGGCCCCCCCAAGAACCGGCCAGCGAAGAGCTTTTCAGGGACCTGATGAGCCTCCTGCAAGTAAACTTATCTCTCCAGGAGATAGATGTCTCGAAAACCTCATGGGCAGAGTACGGAAAGGCGGCGCAGATTCAAGAGGCGCTACAGCAGAACAAGAAGCGGGCGGAATACATGTCCGTCTTCAGAGAAGCCAAATTAGAATTTGGACATGCAAGAGCTGGTCGACTCTTCTTATGCGGCTCTCCTAGAGCAGGTAAGGTGCTCTGTAAGTTATCAAATTTTTGAACTAGCAATATAAGCTTTTACTTTTAACATTAAAGATTAAAGCATGAAGTTTATTTTTTTTATCTAGATGTATTTGGATTTGTGTGAAAAATAAAACGGAAATATAAGAAAAGAAAAGTCAAATAGTAATGAAATCAAATTTAAGTAAGATATTTTCAATAATTTCAAATTTAATGTGTAATTGGATTTCTTTCCACTCTTTTGTATCTACACAATATATTTAAAGAATATTATATCAAGTAGTTTGTAAAAATATCTTAAGTAACAAGTTATATTTTTTGTGGTTATGTGTACTCAATCTATAGGCAAGACTCAACTACGTCGAACCTTCATGAAAATAGTGCAAAACAGAAGTTGGCTCTGGGACAAATTGAAGTGGAGGACTAGGGGAATCGAAGTGGAGTTCTTCAAAACCAATGACGAAAGCCAAATCTCAATTTGGGACCTTGGGGGACAAGGAATATTTCGTACACTTCAAAATGTGCTCTTCTCTCCAACCAGCAATTTTTGTGTTTTTATATTTGTGTATAGTCCCTTCCCTGAGAAAGAAGACTCTTGTTTAGAAGCAGAGTTGGAGGAATGGTTAAGTTTCATCTCATCCAGCACTAGCGTCACGGGACATAATCGTCCACAAGTTCTTGTTGTGATTTCACACAAGGATAAAACCAAATTCACGTCTTTGGAGTGGGCTTGTTCCATAGTGAACAACCTCACCAAAAGATTTGCAAAATTTGTAGATTTGCATCCTATTCAAGAGATTTTCTATGTGGATGCTAGGAAGAAGGAGCAAGTTATTTTTCTCAAAGATCACATTTTTGAGACCTTCAAGAAAATGTTGAGTGAAAAATCTCCACTGGTTCCTCAACTGTGTTCTGAACTCTCTTCCCGCTTGGTTACAAAAACCAAGGAGAATAGAAGTTTTCCTCTTTGGTCATCCAAAGAGTTTAATGAGTTCTGCGCTCCAAGCTTGAAAAAATTCATTCCCATTTCTTTACCTCACACTGATGATCATTCAAGGATATTGAAATCAATCATATCCTATTTGAATGATGTTGGATCCATTGTTTCTATCCCAAACCTTGATTACATTGTTGTGGATCCAAACTGGCTAACCAATACATTATTGGGTGAGCTTGTAGCTCTGGGTCAAAATTTTCATGCTCGAAGATCCAGATCTTCTCGCAAAAGGATTTCACGTTACTTATACAAAAGCCCTGACGGATTTGTGACTGAGAGTGTCTTTGCTAGGTTGATAGAGGAGTTTCTGGGAAAACAACCACATGGAGCGAGAGGTGTGGACAGAGAGTTGATTGAAAACATCCTTATCAACTTAGATTTGTGTTTCAAGCTCGAAGATTCTTCCCAGTATTTCATTCCCTCCTTCATACCTGAGCATCCAAGCAAGGAAGAACAGAAACATCAAGAAAGAGCGCACGTGATGCCGATGGCATGGGAAACTTTGGATGAGAACCCAAAGTTTGTCGGCATCCGGGTTCAATGCCAAGATGCAAGAACAATGTCACTGACCGCAGCTTTTTTTCCGTGCTTCCAGGTGATTTTTTATTTGACTGTGAGAAGATTGAATGCGTCAAGTTCCGAATGTAGCTTGTGTAAGATGAATAGAATGTTTCCTTCTCATTAATTGAATTCAGTTTTTAAATGCGTAGCTCAATACTTATCAAATTGTGTCGTTGTAGATGTTCATGAGACGCAAGTTGATATCGGAAATGCATGTTTCCAAGGAGACTGTGACATGCTCTCGAAATTATCTACAACTTTTCCTTGATGGGCACGAGATCTACGTCGAACAAGAAACGTCTCACAAGTACTTGGATGTTCGGATGTTATGCTCGAAGTATAAATCAAGGGAGGAGTCTCTGAAATACCTGATGAAGAATGTCGTCCAGGAGTTGATATCATTTTGCGCATCACCCAAAGGTTGTCCCGGAGTGGCGTTGGTGCTAGGTGTGATCCAAACAATTTGCGTGGAGAAGCGGATTCCGACTCATCTTAGAGGGGCAATTCTAATCGAGGATCTGAAATCAGATTTCATTCATAGCATCGAAGAGAAACTTGAGGGTATTCTGTTGGATATATCGCACTTGGAGAAGGAAGATGAGTTCTTCAACTATGAACACCCTTGGCCCTTGATTGAAGGGCACACAACACAACGTACATTCGAAAGAGCTAGGGAGTTGCTGGGGGAGAGCAATGTGGAAGCGGTTGTGGAAGCGGTTCGGAATATGATCCGACAGAAGCGAATGCAGCAATTGGAGTCACTGGGGCAAGGTTTGGACTGCGTAAACAATGATTTGGTTCATTCTCACGCTGAAGATGAGAACATGGATAGCAAATCAAATTTTCCTGATATGAAAGACAACAATCGACCTTCATCCAGGTGCTCAAGTCGGGAGAGCACAATTGTAGAAGACCGGTCAACCCAACTTATTATGTCCAAGATAGACCAGGTAGAAGGAAACCTAGTTCAAAGGATGGATGAGGGGTTAAGATCAGTGGTGAGCGGTGTGCGGCAATTGGAAAATAAGGTTGGACAGATAATCACTTTGCAACAAGAACTTCAGTCAACGTTGAATGATTTCAACTCTAAAGTGGATAGTATGATTCAGTACTCAGAATCGCTTAAGCAAGCGAGAACTCCCAAGCGACCTTACGTTACGAACGATGTTGGCGTTTTATATAAGTTGAGTGCAGGATTGCATTTTGGGACAACCGTTCGCTTACACTTGATGTGTGAGTCTATTACAGAGCCTGAGTTTCACATGGTCAAAGATCAAGAAGGTTTGAAGATACGCTTGGATTGGGAGGATTGCAAATGGATTCGGAAAACAGTTGAAATTATGTACAAAGTCATATATTATGCTGCAAAGGCTGGACTGGCTAAGACCATCCAGTTGGGCCAAGCAATTCCTGACTGGGCAGATTTAACATCAGATATTGTTAAACTAGTTAGTATTAGCAATGAAGATCGTAGGGCCGTTCTAAAAGGTGGGGAAAAGGAGCTGCAAGAAGCATGGTTGAGGATTCAGCAAACTCTTGCGCCTCATCTTCAAAATCGCTATTCCGAACTCTTCAAGTTGTATCAGGTGAAATACGATAAAGCTGGGCATGCATGGGTGTGCGAGAAGTGCATGAAAAATGGCCTTCGTTCTGGAGTTTTGACTTATTAGAATTATGAAGAGGTCAGAATTCTATTATGCAAGTGACAAGCATATGTTTAGACCCTCATGCAATATACAACTCTGCAAAACCTTCCTTACACAAGTCTTTTATAATCTTTGCCATGGTGTAAATTGCACAGTTATGTTTCTGAAATGGATGAGTGTTCGGCTAAACTCTGAAGATGACTTTTTTAGGGTAGAGTGATCAAATTGTCTTGTTGCAAGTCTCAACCCTTGAAATTGTTTTGTTGATGAAATCCCTTCACTTGACACGCGCGGGTGTTCACCTTGAACTTCCACTCATATCCCTGATTCTTCTGTTGTTGCACGATGAAGGTACAACAACTTTATGATGGACCGGAATTCAAACTACGATGTGTTGTCATTTTCAGCTAGTTTCAGTGTTTAAGCAAGAGAGCAATTCAAACTAAAGAGAATGCTTCTCCTAAATTTCCTGCACCACGAAGCTCAGAATTTCATAGTTCATGTGAATATCCTTCTGGTGTTTCTTGTATGACCAGAAGATTTCACAAGATTCCTTAGGAGGCCTAATTCCAGTTCGAATGCATCTTACCGGTAAAACAAAACTTCTGCACAAATCTCTCCTATGGTACTCAATCTCGCGTCTGCTCATCCATAATTGGATTCCATTTGTAAAATTGTTGATGTGTAATCGGAGCTTTTCGTTCTATTTTCTTCGTGCTATACCCCAATTACATGCTTTTTGCTCGCCGGGATCTCAGCACATTTTAAATCGCCAGCACGCTGAGGAGTGTCAGGTGTATGAATGTGGTAGTTTGGTAACACAAATGCTTTTGCACCTGGACTGCGTGTGGATGTTCAGTTACAGAGACTCTTAACATGGAGCATAAATTTTCAATCATATTGTACAGTCGATTGTACAATCATATTGTACAATCGACCAAGCAGTCTATCGTTTCTGTAACTGTCCTCAAGATTTTGCAGCTTCGTCCCACCTTGCCCTCGAATTTGCATTTGTTCTGTAACACTCCTTCAGGGAATTGACACGTCTATGACGGCTGATGAATCACTGGAAGAATTAGCGAGAGGTCTGAGGCTAGAGCTGAGACCTAAGCACATACAAATCCAAGACTATAATGAAGCAGCGTGAGAGCAATTCTGATGATTATTTTCTTCAAGTGGAGTGAAAAGTTAAGTTGTAATTTCTAAGGCATACAGTTGGAACCTAGAGGATAAGATTTGTGAATGTATTCATGACCAAATCATACTACTTTCAATTCTGGGCACCGAACCATTCTCAAGCAGTATGAGGTGGAGAGCTACATAAGTTCTTTACATCTGTACAGAATCAGCTGTGTGGATGTACAAAGTACAGGAACCTCTGAGCCTCCCGAGAGTGGTATATCTGCCAGGATGGAGGTCCTTCTCGAGATTAGGAATGGTTGGGATGATGAAGGTACGATAAACCTCCGAAATCTGAAACAATTGGCACCAAACATACTGACGGCTTCGCCAATGATTGCAAGTTACAAGCGCGTACACACACACGAGGACTCAACTGGACTGAGCTACTGACCTCAGCTAGGCCAGACTGAACTGGATGAGACGTTTTCTTACAGATTGATAACATGACTTGGGAGTTAAGAGAGTGAGCACACCTTGGAATAGTTGCTGAAAGCGGTTTTGAGAATGTGCTCGACGTTGCGAAGGTCCACTGTGAAAGTATTGTTCATAGTAATCATTGGCACGGAGAACGTCAGGCACCCTTTCTTATGGTAATCATGCAACCAGTCGTGCATTCTATCGAAATTTCGGGCTTGCTCGATTATATATCCGATAAAGATCCATTTCTTTGGACGTTTATGTTTTTGCTGCACGAATGTTTTGGACGAGTGACGGTGCACCCATGGGATCCAAGTCAGGAGGATCATCACGGCTAAGATAGCCGCTGGCATTTTCTGGATTTGATACTCTCTTGTGTATTCTTCAATATACTTTGCAACTTCCGGTCTGACGACCTTTATCTTGCTCGAAGAAGTACAGAGATCAGGAACAGTAGCCCCCCTGCGCATGCACAGCTCCACCGTCTGCGGATCACAGCCCGAGGGCTGGACCAGCTCACCTTCCGGCTCGTCTGGCTCTCCCTTCGGATGTTGTTTTCTCCTCCCTTACTCCCTCCTTCACTGCTGTAGAAATCCCAACGCTAAACGCAAGAATTGTGCTTAGATCTCTCGCTCGTATTGTGTGTGCGCTCGGTTTGATGCAGACCCAAAGATGAAAGCTCTCAATGTGGTTGTAATGTGTGGACCCTTGGAATTTCTACTCAATCCCTGTGCGTTCCTTGTATTCCAGCCTCGTAATCACTTCAACTTACGAACAGCTAGAACGGGCTTAGACCAACTACTCACAGTGTATTATGTTTAGTAACGATTATGAAGTTCGTTAGTGAACTAGACGGTAATTTTACTTTCTATGGTTCCGTTGAATGCGTTACTGCTCAAATGTAAATGCTCGAGCAGCTAAGAAGTATCAAGTATCAGCTTACGTTGGGAGTGATGATTATTACCTCAGGTCTTTTTAACTCAAGTTACTTTAAATCTAGTTAGTTTCACTATGATAAACCTGTATTTTATATGATAAAATTTTCCTCAGGTCTTTTTTACTCGAGTTAGTTTAAATCTAGTTACTTTCACTAGGACAAAACTGTTGTTTATATGATAGAAGTTACCCCAGGTCTTTTTAACAGTGATTATTATAATTAACAGTAATAAATAGTAACAGTAATAAATTCACATATACAACTCTGCAAAACCTTCCTTACACAAGTCTTTTATAATTTTTGCCATTATGTAAATCGCACAGTTATGTTTCTGAAGAAGATGAGTCTTGGGTTAAACTCTGAAGATGACTTTTTGAGGGTAGAGTGTTCAAATTGTCTTGTTGCAAGTCTCACCATGATGAAATCCCTTCACTTGACACGCGCGGGTGTTCACCTTGAACTTTCACTCATATTCCTGATTCTTCTGTTGTTGCACGATGAAGGTCCAACAACTGTATGATGGACCAGAATTCAAAGTACGATGTGCTGTCATTTTCAGCTGGTATCAGTATTTAAACAAGAGAGTAATTTAAACTAAAGACAATGCTTCTCCTAAATTTCTTACACAATGAAGCTCAGAAAGTCGTAGTTCATGTGAATATCCTTCTGGCGTTTCTTTGTATGACCAGAAGATTTCACAAGATTCCTTAGGAGGCCTAACTCCAGTTCGAATGCATCTTACCGGTAAAACAAAACTTGTGCACAAATCTCTCCTATGATATTCAACCTCGCATCTGCTTATCCATTATTCGATTCCATGTAAAATTGTTGATGTGTTATCAGAGTTTATCGTTCCATATTCGTCCTGCTATACCCTGATTACATGCTGTTTGCTGGCCGGGATCTCAGTACATTTTAAATCGCGAGCACGCGGAGGATCGTCAGGTGTAAAAATGTGGTAGTTTGGTAGCGAAAATGCTTTTGCACCTGGACTGCGTGTGGACGTTCAGTTACACAGACTCTTAACATGGAGCATAAATTTTCAAAGGATGCATGAACTCGTTTGCTAAACATTTCGGGGAATGTGATTGTACTCGCATATTGAGTCATGTAGTATATGTTAATAAAGCATGGTTGGATTGTAGTAATCATGACGAGGCTATCCACGTCAAGGAAATGGAAATGGTATTCCTACATCAGAGACAAGAATGATCAGTGAAGGGAAAAGGATAACACTTATCGAATTCGATACGGTAACACCACATATGATTATAGGTCTCTGAATATAGACCAGAAAGCTACCTTCCGATTCCTTCTCATCAATTTCAATCAAGCTAAGTGAGACCAATAGCTTCACTGCGGTATACAATTAGTTAGTCAAACCAAATCTTGGATTTCTAATTTCTAATTTGCATGCTCCGACATCGTGCAGTGTTTGCAGAGTGCAATGGTGGCGAGATTGGTGATGCGATGAGTTTTTTCCGTTGAATAGTAATTCTGTCAACTTAACTCTCTTTAATTATCGATCACAATTGCCATCTCCGTCTAGGTTCTGAACACGATCATTATTTTCAGTCTAGCATCCGCGTCTGTTTGCAACTTGAGGAATTTTTCCGAAGATTTGCGTTATAAGGTGAACTCACTCAACCAGGTTTGAACCTGTGACCGCTACTAGAACTCGATTTAAGAATCTTCTGTGCTTCACCTGAAGCCTCAGGTAGAGGATAAGGATGAACATTTTCTGAAGGAGGTACACGAGAATGATTGCGTGTAACATCTTTACTGGTCAACACATAATCCATTCCTGGCAGGATGGATTATCAATTTTTCCCAATGAGTCTGATAGTCAAGTGCTAATTGGTACCGTATAGAATGTGGTAATTGCCAAATGTTATGGAAAATTCCATATCTTTTTCAAGTGCCGTGTCAATCAAAAACAATCTGATAAGTTATTGGACCTGTGAGATTACTTTTTAGTAGAATATGGAAAGAATACAAGACCCCGAGGAGATTTACTGAGAATAGACTTTTGTTCTGAAGATAGAGATCTTGGACACAATAACGGCAGCTCTGCAGATAGATTCAAATCGTAAAAAATGTTCAAATTCAAATTTGAATATTTTGAAATGATTCAAATTCAAAAAAGATTTTGCTTAGTAGATTCAAATAGTAAAAAAAATTACATTTGTCTTACTCATACACTTGTTTTAGAATCAAAGGTTGGTAATAAAATATGAGAATAATCATGTACTGCTCTTAGAGATCTCTCTCGTAAAAATTGTTGTAAGTAGATGGTTTCAGTCTCAACGTCTTGTCAAAATTCATGACCTTGAGCTTGCACTTCACTTGCTTCTCTCGAAGAATATAGTCACCACGTCCGTCGCATTTGACTATGTCTTATCCTGCTCTTCTAAACTTAGGGGTGGTCATCTCGTTTTATTTAACACTGAAAGTTCTACCTTATGCAGATGGAGTGAAAAAACATTCTTTTTCATTCATTTAACCCTTTTAAAACTATCGTCCACTGGTAGCTTTGCTTCAAAACACCAGCACTTGCCGACTGATAAATCATCCAATTTTATAACAACTTTACTCCTGTCAATAGAGCTGCTCCACGCCCTACTTCAAATCCTTCGCATGAAGGACTTCTCTTCCCTTGATTGATATTAAGTTACCTCGCTGTTGCCAAGCAAGCACCGCTCAGAAATGAGGTCAAGAAATGGGTAGTAAGGATGGAATAGCAACTATAGGGTGTTCGACCAATCAGATAAGACCGCATAGAAGGGTGAAGGTTAATTAACCCTAAGTGAAAAATAACTAATCCTAGCTTAATACATGTACATTATAGATTATCCACTGATTCACCAGGCTGTAAATCATCTACAGTACCATGGACTGAAATTCTCCTCGGTAGTAATCTAGCCCCATGTTGTAAGTGCCCCAACATTAAATGAAGCAATGGCGCGAGTTTATTCGTGCAGGGCTTCTAATGCTGTCGACTTTGCACCAGTCGAGTCGATGGAGATTAAAGAATGTGATCCTAGATTTGTTTCAAGCTCGAAAGCTTGTAATTTCATGCATGTTTCTTTTCTTCTCATACTCATTCACAAAAGAATAGAATCTGTTGAAGAGTACACTTTGCATAGACAAACTATCCATCTCTTTCAAAACAGTACTGATTGACTCAAATAACTCAAATTATTTCAGTCGTGATCGCATAAGTAATTCAGAAGTATCGTCTGGTGCACAATGAACAATGGATGTGTAAGTTGCAAAAGCATAAGCATTCGATGACTGGGCGTCAACTCGCAAACAAACCTGCTTATAAATTGAGCTCTACGCAGTAATTCCTGAACAAATGGACATAATGTAAAGGCACTGAACGCAGCCTCTAAATTAGTGAACTCGCAATGGTTAGGCTCCTAAGGGGCGTCAATTACAAGCGAAAGAGTGAAGTTTTGGTAGGGAGTTGACTCTCACTGCAACGTGGTCTTGCTTTCGCAAGGCCCAAGCAACACTCAAGAGGAAAACTTGATCAAATCAGATCAACTTGAACGCGTCGGTGTGCAAGCTTCCGCTGGAGAAACCCTGATAGGCGCTGTCGAAGAAAGGCAGCTGATGCTTGTCATTTCGGATCATCTGTCGCAGGCCCTCCCACTCCTTCTGAGTGAGATCTACCCCAGTAGGATTGTGCGCGCAAGCGTGCACCTACAGCACCGATCCATTGGGTGCTGCTCTCAAATTGTCGATCATGCCCTTGTAGTCCAGTCCTCGGGTCGTGGGGTTGTAATATCGGTAGGCTCTGGTTTCCAACCCAGCGAGTAGGAAAATCTTCAAGTGGTTGCCCCATGTCCAAGATGTAATTCGAGTCTCTTGTCAAAAACTTCTCCCCAGACAAGCAGGAATGGACAGTTAGTCGAGTCTTTTATTGGCTGAGGACAGAAATATTCATAAGTGGAGCATCCTCTACACCTGATATGTCCACATTCTAATCCTGTGTGCCATTCCCTGCATCAGCTAAGAGGAAATCTTTCTCAATTTCATCCGCTGCTAGAGAATCTCGTACTTTCCCGGACACTGTACATTGAATGTTTCCTTCTTCACAACCTCCTGTTGGAGAGTCTTCAGACCCAGGTTCTGTATATTCTCCAGAAACTTCATAGTTCTCAATTTTAATTTCCTGTACGGAAACTATGTAATCCTGCACAAAGGTATTGCTCACCTTCCATCTTAAAGGATATTGCGAGTTGTCTGCGTCTTCGTGATTTGGTTGGGGGGTTTGAGGGTATCCGAGCGTCCTTCTTCTGCTACTACACCTGCACCTGATAAATCCCTCTCCAACTGTTGTACACTCGGTGCAACAGCTGCGCCTAGATCATTCTTACCGTCAAGGAGGAGCTCTGATTGAGTATACAAATCTGCGGCATGTGATTGGTTTCCTCCTTCTAGTTCGCAATCAGCCAGTATTATTTTGAGGCTGGAAATCTACTCCAGGGATATCTTTCTCCCATAAAAATTTTGGACTTCCTCTCCATCAGGAGGAGAAGAGATTTGTGCACACGGTATCTGAACATTTTTTGTGTTCCAAACCCTGAGGGCTTGGTTAAAAACCTCCACATCTCTGTGACTTGTATACATAGCTGGACTGCTTTGTGTAGATCTCTCTAGCAGAAGTGGAAGTCCTCTCGAACTTGAATATACCCCTGGACTCCTTTTTGTAAATTTGTCTAGGAAGCGGAATAATTATGAAGCCATGTCTCTCTGATAGATTCGATGATATCAAAACAAGAATTTCTTTGTACAGTACACTCTCTCAGTGATTCCCGAACACTGTTGATGACAGATTTATAAAAGCACATTTGTGAAAGCCGCGAAAATGAATGAAGATCTTGAAAAAACACAATGAGGCTGTATATTTTGTTTGGAGCTAGTTTGGCCTCCTTTCCGGTCCCAAGTTTTCCTAACAAACGGCCTGATTGGTGATCGATGAGCCTTCATATTTTCCAGTTCATTCGTTTTTTACTGGTGAATCGATTACAAATTAAATCAAATTTCCTGTTCGTTGGTGCGCAGATGAGGTTATCAGAGACTGACTGTAATTCGAATTTGCTATTAGGGAAGTCTTCTCTCACGGTCCTTTATCCGATTCATAGCAATCTATTCTAATTTTAGTGGAATGTTCGCTTCGTTCATACAAGAAAGTTCATAATCCTAACGTCAGTTTCGTATGATCAGTTTTTCAAAATAATATTTCATAATCTATCATATTGGGAGATTGATTTCTATAATTTGATTAAAGATATAATTTTTTGTCTTTAAATTAATTTTTATCTATAATAAATAGCGAATTACATGAGAAGAAAAAAGAAACCAATAATTTACACAATTTTCAACATTGTGGTGGATGAGAGCTTACAGAAGTGTATAATATTTGACTAGTAATCAAGCATATCTTCAATATCTACCGGCCATAATTCAAATTTTCGCAATTATCCATTTGTTAACCATAAATAAATAACTCAGTTCATATATATTTATTTATTTGTTAATTTATTTAGTTATTTTTTTAATTTTTTTATATTCCCAATAATCCGTTTGAGAACCGTAAATACTATTTGCCTAGTAATCAAGCATATCTTCAGTAATTACCTGCCATAACTCATTTTTACCCAATAATCTGTTTGAGAACTGTAAATAAATCGTTCAGTTCTTATGAAATAACTACGGTGTTTAACATGGATACTCATATTTTCATGTTGTGTCAAACTATGCCAACATCATTCTAAATTTGATTGTTTGTGATACTTTAAATAGCAGCTATGCACATTTTATGGGTATACTTCATGGACGTTAAAATACTTCAAGATTTAAAATTATTGTATAATTATACATTAAATTTTGATCATGTAATAACCGTGCTAAGCGATGTTCTGAATTAATATTTAATTCATTTATAATAATATTTCGACGAAAAAAAGATGAAATAATTTTAAATCTTATCGTATTTTACTAGAAAAAATTATTGAACTTAGAGCGCTTCCTCACGCTTTGTGCCAATGATTTTTTTATGTCTACACAAAAAAATTAAAAATAGCAAAACATATATATTTTTATTACAAAAATATATGTATATAATATTGCTCAGATTAAGTCTTAGCAAGTATGCGATTCGATTGAGTAAGACGACCACCACAACAAGTTAAGTCCACGCCTGCCAATGAGCAAAACAAGCACTATTGCCCCTGCACGTAGCAGTTCGCTTGAAGCTCTTCGTCTGTCGGGATAGTGGGTAATAACACCATTGCCACCAAGTCCACTGCTTCGCCTATGGCTAAGTTATGACAAAGCCGTGGATGTCACTCTACAATGGTTAGCCCAAGGAAAAATGAAAGATATTGAGGACACCATATTGCCAGTCAGAACGGTGCAATGCGTCAATGGTCCACAATCAATCTACTCAGCTAGAGGGAAAAAATGTCCTTCTAAGCGTCGTTGATCCTGATGTTACTTTAAACAGATCATTCAAGTATTTCTCCAAGTCTTCGGCTCCCGACTTGATGTAATTCTCACGATTTTTCGCCTTGGAACAAATTGTGTACGCAATCTTCATCCCAAAGTTCAGCTGAATCGAGGGATTTCCACGATCGAGAAGGTCGTACTGAAGTTACAGTACAACCTTCATCGGACGTGGTGGCCAGCATTCCGTGGGATTTTCCAAGGGATGCACAATGCTTTGACAATCAACACTGAGCATGACTCTCCAGATCCTCGGGTTTTGAGCTTGTCACGCAGCCAAAAAGGAAAATCTGCCAGATGTATTTGTTCCTTACGTATAGTAAACGCCCCTAGGAATGGTGATCGGGTGACTTCAATGCGTTCTTAAATCGGAGCGGTGATTCTCGTGCATGCGAAAGCAGAAAAACAGCAGGAGACGCGACACATTCAGGTCAAGGCGAGGCTATTCTCTTTAATACCAAACGTAACGTGGTTCGACATTCGTCTACGTCCACGTAAACACAGAACTTTGCTATCACTGTTGGGGGACGAGAAAGTTCTCGTCCCGTTAGTAGTCAAAGCCGCCCGACTAAACCTTAACCTGTCCCGTTAGTAGTCGAAGCCGACCGACCAAACCTGTCCGCTGAGTTGAGTTACTACGTAACAACAGGTAGGTTACTTTAGACCAAATGTTTTCATTGCTCACATAAAAAGTTTTGAATTATATACATAAGGCGATAATTATTTTAGGAGGTTTAGCATTCAAGGTGTTGTTTGTATGTATCTTGATCTTGATAAGATAAGACATGAAGCAAACAATGTATTTCATAACGGAAACATACAAAAAAATTTCCTCACTTAATTTACAATAATTTAACCAGTTCCACCTATTCATTCACATCTTTAATATTACAGATTAAGATTCTATTGCTAATCAAAATGGCATAAAAGATGTGACATTTGTGATATGACATAGACCTAAATTATGAGACAATTATTATACTCTTCTTGGATAAGTGAAATGCTTGACTACACTAATCCAATTTCCATAGTGATGCAAAGGTCTTCACTATAATATTACTCTTAAAAAAGACAACAAATTTGAAGAATAAGCACGGAATAAAAGAAGCATGACACTTACTATTGGAAATAGATAGAGCGAGAAATTATCATTCCTTCAATAGTTACGGTAAAGATTATGGTTATTCGGCAGTTCTCTCAGAAGAGTATGTACTGGAATTTGGAATTTCTTCGCTTTGAAATGTCAAAGAACAACCAGACTCGCATGAAAACTGAGGTCTGTTTGTTGATACCAATTGCCGTCGAAGCCTACATAATTACACTCGTACTGGTCCGACAAATTCCCGTCAGTACATCAGAAGCCAATAGTGCATAGACAGATGCATGGCAGTGGTTGAGATTATACACAATGGGCATAGTGCTCTATTCTAACTGGAGCAAAGCTGGGGGCGAACGAACGTTTGTTTGATATTAGATACATACATGAAGTATGACCTGTACAAAATCGTAACAGACATTCGGTGCTGAACTGAGACGGCTGCAATGCAACTCGTGGTTTCATCGTCTGACTCCATTCTTGCTCGGACAAGAATTGTCCGTTCCATAAGTCATACCGTGCCCCGCTAGTTGGACATACTGATAAAATGTTCTTAGCAACATGATCGTCTGTCTGTGCTGCATGAGTTTGCGTCCTTACGAGGAAGGGGCTTCACTTTCTAACGGATCTCGTCTGATGGGTCAAAGATGCCGTAGGGTGATGCACACTCTGTACGGTGCGTAGCCCTGCAGTCAGTGATACTTTCTGTACGTCAGTGGGATATCAAGACCAAGCTGTAATACATGATAGAATTCATTCTGCTTACCGTCCACATGACTTTGATTGTTATGTCGAAAACACCTCTTAACAGAGCTTGAACCATATCCCACTCCACTGAGATTGCGAAATTTCTCCAGACAACGGGCACCTGTTAAAACAAACAGTTTCAAGCTCTTCAAATTGATGTTTGGTTTGACAATAATTTGTACCAGGCATCTGGTACTGTCAGGAAAGCAAGCTTCTCACAGGAATTCTGCTGAATAGACTTCGTTTGCTTCTTTCCCATTCACAGTCGGATCAAATTCTTAACGGTGAAGAAATCTGACAGAACATGGCAGCTGGTCCTCATGTATTTTCTCCACTTACCGTCAGCCGTTGGGTAGGATGATCTCGAGACACAAATCTCCACGGATATCCCAAACTGCAAAACGAAACATTTGTCAAAGCCCATGCAAATTGAGTATAGTCCAGTCCAGAGACAGTTGTTGATATTTCACCTTGTTTTACCTATCATGATCTTAGGCTGCTTGAAAGCGATATTGAAATGAAGAGGAAGCTTGCAGCTCGCGCTCATTTGAAACTAGCAGTCTGAACACCTGAGCTTTCTGTTGATTCAAGGTACTATGACTGGGAGATCGGAACGGATGGGCCTGTCCAGGTCACCGGTATCAAAATTCCTGCAGCATCCATCGCTGACTCCTGGAAGAAAAGGTTCGTTCGCTCAAGTTCCTCGTCAGAATGAAAAGGCAGGGAGACCTGCCGGAGAGGAATTTGTTGCAACTAAAGGTCTGTAACTTTGATTCAGAAGCAACTGTAGTGAGTGTACCTGCTGGCTGATCTGACAAATCCGGGTGATTCACATTAATTTCCTCTGGACCCAGCGGTGGATACAGCCTCGAAATCTCGTGCTTCGATCGATTTCCACCTTACACTGTTAAAGACTGCTTATTCTGTCACCATAAAATAGATACGACTTACTCAACCTCCGATTACTCAACGTCGGTCTAACTACGTCTCTCAGTATGACGTGATTAACTTAGACCTGGGAAGTTGAATTCTCTGCAGAGACTGGTGATTAAAAAATCAGTAGTCATTTGGGATCTCTGAGAACCTTTCTGTCAATATTCTGAATGATCTTCCAGTCTGACATATTTATGCTTCTGGTGGGAAACAGTCTGGAGATTTTCCGAGTGGACTGGTGGGCTTCAGCATGTGGAAGTTTTCCGATGTCAGACCTTTTAGAGGCGATTTTGGCCAGCACGAGTCCATTGATGATAAATGTGCGATTCTCAGGATGAGCGTTAGAGCCACTGTGAGCTATCAGCGAGCAACTTTCTGGGCTGTTCTGGGATGAAATGTGTATATAACCCGGAAAGCAGGAGAGATTTGACTCTATTGCAATTGAGCGATTCGATATACTCTGGTCGACCATGTTTCCAATGTTGTTGCATTGCATAAAATGCTCCTTTAGGTTTGGACGATTCATAACGGAGGGCGCCACTCTCATCCTGCGGCCATACTGGCTGCCAGCATATTCATGTTCCAATGCAGCCTCGTGGACGTCAGTCTGTGCAGAAGTCTGGAAGTCTTCTCCTGAAGTGTCTGGGCGGAGTCCTCAAGGGCAACTCTTTCGGTCAGAAGCTGCAATGTTTGAGTCTTGGTTTGTTTATCGCCCGCATCATCTCCTGACTTCTCGGTTTCAGAACCAGCAGAACAACGGACCTCTTTCTCAGTGTTCTCTTGCATGAAAAGTGCCCCCTCTTTCAGTGCCACTTGAAGTTGCCTTTTGGCTTCATCAAGCTTATGGAAAGATGTAGATAAAGTTCCCCGCAAAACCTGGAGCTGCTGTTCCAGCTGAACTTTCATTAGGCTTGCTTCCTCATGAAACTGCGTGAAATTTGTTGTGGGTGATGATATATTACGATTCTGCTCAAATTCCTTGACACGTTCACTAACATACTCCATCATGGCATCCAGACGATCCTCCATGACACACTGAAGTTCCCACTGGTCTCTCAAGTGCTGTGTCAACTCTCTGATCTGCAACGTATGACTACTGTCATCTCCATCACAACATTGGTTCTCATTTCGTTCCAGATTTGCAGCGGGTGCATGCACGCGAGCAAGCTGTAAATTCTCGGGGCATTTTGATTCATCAACAACCTCATCTACATCTAAACGCTGCTCTGGAGATATGATTATGAGATTGGACTTACACGGTGGAGTCTGTATCTGCTTCTGCGTTTTCATCCTCAAGTCGTATCGCAGTTGGTACAACTCCTCGTCTTTCTTCTCAGTAAGCTCCCGGAAGTACTTCAGGCCTGCAAGTAGGCCTTGTCTCTCGGCTTGCCAAGCTTTCTTGTCCTTGACCCCAGGTCCAGCAACCACCGTATGATCACCCGTATGTACCTGCTTAACCCGGCTCTCCGCTTGAATCGCTCGAGCTTCTAAGTCGGTGCAACGCGATTGCATTTTTTGAATGATCTCTACATTTCTTTGCAGCTCCTTCTCAAGCTCCATGATTGCCTCTGCCTTCAAGGGATCTTGTGTCTCTCTGTACATCTTCTCTGTTCCTTCCAAGAACTTGCATTTCGCGAGTAAGTCCTCGATTTTCCTGCTCATTATCGCTCGCTCCTTCTCAAGAGCAGCCAATTTCTCGCTCTGGACTCTCAGCTTTTCTACGAGCTCGCTGGTCTGATTTGATCTTGCAGAAGCTTGGTCAGGCTCTCGGAGTAACCTGGGCTTCTTTGCAGGTTTCCCTTTGACTCTTTGGCCAGGGTTTTTGTTCTGCAAGTCATCGAACTCCAGTCGTTGGCTTTGTTGACTCTGGAGGGAACGTTCCGATTCTTGTGCGCGAGCCAGTTTGGTCCTGAGCTCGTTGATAATGGTGTAGGACCGTGCTAGCTCCTTCTCCATGGTCTTCAAAGCTTCGCCTTTGATCACCAGGCATTCTTGCAGGGAAAGTACTTCACATCGAAGATCCAAAAGCTCACGAGCATCGCCCTGGCCAAATCTGTGTGATCCACTCCTTGATATCTTCTTCATCGGAGACATCATGCCATCAGAAGAGGTGGAAACCACGGTGGAACTGTCGCTACACGTGAAGCCCTGTAAGGACGACTTTGCCATCTCCAGCTGGGTGGAGAGCTCTATCACTTCTTCCTCCTTGGCTAAAAGGCTTGTTTCGCATTCCTCACAGCGTTTCACGAGCTGGTATCTTTCCTCCTGCCAAGCGGATTCGTCCCTGTCCAACTTCTCGATAAGGTTTCCAATCTTCTCTTCCTTCGTCAAAAGAATTGCTTCGAAGTCATCCAAGCGCTTGGTGAGCGCTTTCCTTTCCTCCTCCCAGTTTTCTCTTTCCTCAGTCAGCCGCTTCATTTCACGAACATCTCTTTTCACCTGCACACCTTTATCTTCTCTGTACAATGAACATACGTGTTTTTCCAATTCACGAGTATCGCCTTCGAAATCCATTGTGAAAATACAGCACTCCAGATCACGCGTATCACCCTCAAAGTCAGCTGTGCCACTACTAGAAGGGCAACCTTTAGTTGCAGGACAGGAATCTGTAGCAGTCGTTTCGGATGAACAAGTGCTGCAGACGTAGTCAGCCAATGGGAAAGGAGTTCGTACGGAGTCACAACAATGTAGGTCCATCGTGTCGCCTACAAAATCTGTCTTTAATGGTGTGGAGGAGCAACTGGAAGGAACGTAGACCTCCAAGTCACATGTGTCCCCCATGAAGTCAGCAGTCACGGACTTTGTGTCGCAGGACAAGTCCAGCTTGTGCTGCTGCAAGGCTTTTTCTAACTTCTGTTCTTGTTCTAAAACTCCTCTTTGCAATCGTAGAGATTGGACATGCAGCTCATCGGCCTCTTTTGTTTTCTTATCCAAAGCTTCATGGAGGTCCAGCAAGCGTGCGTTCAGCTGTGCTGTCTCTGCTTCCCACTGCTTTTCCTGCTCTGAAGACATGGTTGGTTGTTGCCTCCCTTCTTCATAATGGTTTTGGAGTTTTTGTAGCTGCGCTAAAACATGTTGGTTGCGAGCCATCTGCTTTTGGAAGACTTTCTGATTCTTCTTCCTAGTAGATTCGATCTTTCGCAACTCCAGCAGCAGCTGTTTGCTGGTTCGCTCTAAGCTGCGTGTCTGTGGGTTCGTCCCTTGCGAATGAACTCGTGTCTCATAAACGTGCTCACAAACTATTGCACCGAGATTTGAGTCATTTCCAGGTTCTTGAGTCTGCTCGACAAGATCCTGGCACTTCGCATGACCAGCTTCAGTCACGTGATCGACACATGCTGTCGCTCCTAACTGCTGAAGCTCTGAAATTATCTTCTCGTTTCTCTGTATCTGGAGCTCGAAATCTCTGTGTGCTTCAGAGCGCACGGCTTCTATGGTTTGTAACTCATCCAGAAAATCCTCCATCCACTTTTTACGTTCTTCATCTTCCGACTGGTATATTTCTCGTGAATTTGTTTGGAGCAATTTACCGCAGCCCTCGTCAACAATTAGAGAACAAACTGCGTTATCTTTTGATCTGGATTCCAAGTCCTCTACCGCGGACCAAGCTTGATTCAGCTCATCATACACACCTTTTGCCTCACAAAGTGCTCTGGCAATCTCTTCCTTCGCATCTGTACATCGAACATTCATGGATTCCAGCATTTTAAGTGCTTTGCTCAGCTCACCTTCATACTCATGTAAGAGCTGATCTTTTTCTGCAACTTTTCTGTTGGCAGCCACCAGGGCCTTTTCTTTTGTTGTCAGCTCCACTAACATGGTCTCTAAAGGTCCACTGGCCGGTTCTAACTGAAAGGAAGAAATTGAAGATGTTGGAGTAACAACAGCGGAGGTAACCTCCTCCTTCGTCGTCATGGAGGTTGTGACTTTTAGGTCCCCTTGTCCACCTTGCTTGTTGGCAAGTACCATGTTTGCTAAAGCCAGTCGTTCAAGCTCAAGCAGGTCACTTCTTTCGGGCTCGACCGATCTCTTTGTGGCAGGTTGGGAACCTGCCGGTGATGGCTCGGCTGAAGTCATCATTGATGCCAAAGCTACTTTCTCGAGCTCCAGCAAGTCTCCTCGCTCCGTTGTAGACGGTGAGGCATTTGGTGGTCTATCTGACTTCGACGGTGGGCTGATGGAAGTCTCCTTCATATTGGCCAGAGCTACTTTTTCCAGCTCTAATAAGTCCCCTCGGTCGGATGAAGCTGGTGCAGCAAGGGGAGCGACAGCTGACTGAGATGGTGAAAGGCTTGAAGATCCTTTCATACTTGCCAGAGCTGCCTTTTGGAGCTCAAGCAAATCGCTTTTCGCGGGCTCGAGTGGCGCATTTTTGGCCGCTTCTCGAGATTCCTCTGTTCGACTCGGAGATGGTTTCGAAGGCCCAGTTGATGAATGAAGAACGCAGAACTTTTTCTCTTGGGGCTTCTTGTCGAGTTCGAGTAGATCACGTTTAGGAGTACCTTCAGCTGGAGGAGCAAGAGGTGGTTTTGAACCTCCACCCTGTGGATGTAATTTGCACCTCCCTTTTGGCTCAGCCATCTTCTGGGCTTCTTCTACTCCACTGCTCTTGGCACTATCCTGAGAAGGATGTGGAAGAGGAGCCTTCGAGGAAGTAATCGGAGGGTTTAACAACCATTTCAACCTCGGCTGGGCCTTCTTCTGGACATCAAGCACGTTCCCTTTCGCGATCTCTTGAGACGGGGGTGGCCCTGGTGTATTTGCTGGGTGAAGGATACACTTAACCCTTGGTGCGGTCTTCTTCTGCTGCTCAAGCGAATCACTTGAGGATGGGTCTGGTGTCGCTGATGGGTGCAGTAAGCATTTTACCCTCGGTGCAGCCTTCTTTTGGGTCTCCAAGGGATCATTGTGTGCAATTTCTTGAGGCTTGGACGTGCTTGGCAGCGCTTGAGGTGCAACTTCGGGTTGCAATGCACGCTTCAAGCTAGCCCGTGCCACTCTTTGACCCTCAAGAATATCACTTTCAGCTTTTACTGGAGGGAGTGACGCTAAAGCCTTCATCTCACGCTTCATGTTCTGAAGAGCTACTTTCTCCAATTCAAGTAAGTCTTCCCTTTCAGGCTCCTTCTGTGGTTTCATGATAGCTGGACCTGCACGTCTGATATCCAGCGGCTCAACGTCGCTTGGTGTTTTCTGCTTTGAAGGGCCTGGATCGACGATAATATCTGGTTCCAATTTTACAAACCCAAGACGAGCCAAAGCCTGTACTTCAAGCTCTAGCAAACTTGGTCCGTGATTCCCTTCAAAAGGTTTGATCAACTCACCGTGGACAGCTGTTGTCTTGGCGGGCTCAGACTTTGCTGCCGGAGTTGGATTTCGAGGGATGCTTTTTAGTTGCTGATTCAACCTCTTGAGCTCCTCCAGCCTTTCTCGTCGCGCAGTATGAGAGAGCACTTTTGGCTTTGGGAAGCTTTCGTCTGCAACCCCCCTTGGCCGGCGACGTGGAACAATGTCGGTCTGCTGGGGCTTCTTCCCTTTGACATCCGTCGTTGAAGTATCTCTTGGACCTTCACGTTGAGATCCCTCGTAATTCAGATAATTATTGTCAGCTTTATCCAGATCAATAAGATCGCTTTGATGCTTATCTTGTTCATCCCAGTCCAGCTCAGCGACACGGCCTTGCTGCAGACGTGCCCGGCCCTGAGGTAGATCAGCTATTCATCGTTTTGAGGCCTTGCTCGCGTGTGCATCAGAACAAGATCAAACATTCAGCCTAATCCTTGAGTTAAAGTTTTGAACTGGAGTTAAAGTTCGGAAGACTTATCGTGGACAGCATACAATGACTTGGAGAAGTCTGCCATGAAATGTCTTCCAAAATTTACAAAATGACTTCTCCCATTCATTGTAGGCTGTCCCTGATAATCTTTCATTGCTTTTGCTGTTCGGCGTTTACTGGAAGCCCTCAGAAGAATCAGATTCAGACGCACCGTAACAAGCTGACTTCTACATCTCTGTGCCACTGACGCAATACAGCTGTGAGTGGAAAATTAGTAGATGCTGCCGCATAGCTCAAGTTGGATCCGAACGTACCTTTGCCATGTCTACACAGGAGCTATCTGTATCTCTCAGGCAGCTGTGCGCATCGCCCATTTTATCTGTCCACCCGGTTCCTAGTCTTCGGACATCGAGATATACCTCCAATTCCCCAGCCTTTGCTGCTACAATACAATGATGGTACTTTGATGGGTACTACGTGACGGGAAATTTGCCATTTGTCCCTAGGATGAAGTGAGCGGCAATGTATTCCCTTCGCACCTATGACGACGAAGACTATAAGTACCTCCATTAACGACTGACCTGATGTAGCGTAGATTGTGATCGGATCTGCTGTACTGTGTTATTTGCTTGACGATGAATTATCGGAAACGCTTGAAGGCAGCAACCAGTACAATACGTCAGCCGTCATCGAGGTTGGTGATTCTTACCTATAATATCATGGCAAAGAACTTTCTGACTTTGGTCTGGCTGTCGAGACTCCAATAAATGTCGAAAATGTCACGGGCACTGGTTAGAGCTGCGCCGGTTTTTCAAAATAGGATACTTCATAATTCGCTCTCCTGTATATATATATATATATAAATATATTGGGCTTGGTTAGACCTGATTTGAGCTCAGTGTCTTAATAGCACTTCTGGCTTGGAGGCATTGTATGTGGATCTACCTGGTGAGCCCGCGGGTACTACACATGTCCGGGTGGTGTTCGTTCTCAAGTCTCGGAAATTGGACCCTTGTCCAAGAGAGCCTGCTGGGTCCACGGTGCAAAATAATTGGCACAGCAGTCGCGGTCCAGAGTGATACTGGGTACAAAGTCTTCTCCGTTTTCAAAGTTGTTCACTGAATCCGGATATGCGCTGATTTGATGCACTGCTCGCAGGCAAACAATTTCTACCGCGTGCAAGAATGCTGCCCAGATCAATTCTCCCATTTGAGCACTGACTAATATATTCCTGTACGTGCTGTCAACCCAAGGGATATACAGCAAGTGACCGAGTTGAGCGCAGTCAGCTCTGCTGCTGCAACGCTTTGTAGACTTAGCTGTGGGCATACGCTCCCCTCCCGAACATGCTAGCTGGTTTGGTTAAAATACCGGAGGTAATGTCAATCATTGCTCAGTATGTTCTCGTTTCCATCGATAAAAGGACATATGTCTCTCGTAAGGCGCCTGTTACCTTCCGATTAGTCTCACTTCCGCGCATTGTTTCTTGTGTGTTTTAGGTGGTGATGGTATGCCTTGACTAGGTGCTGTGAATATTTTTCGCGCTGTGAAAGCGAACGTTGAAGTTGCTGAGCATGACTAGCCACTGTTCTTAAGTGCATCTGTTGCTCCCATGGTTCCAATGTAGTACTGATTGATTTCAGTACAGAAATCCTTACTGGATGATACACATCATTTGTAACTCACTGAAGGCTACCATGCTGTATACAGCAAGCAGAAGTTTTGGATCCGTACGCTACCACAGTGCTCTGATAGCGTATACCTAGAGAGACCTGAAGATGACATGCTGACAGTGTGGAGCAGTAGTCCTAAAATTTCACTGACTCTGTAACTTGTTAGTCACAAAATTGACAGCAGCTATGGGCAGAGAAAAAAGGTACCAGAGTTGCGATGGCGGCTGAGGAAACCGGGACATTAGTCCTGAATCTCCAGCACACAACAAGCTTTCCAACCGTGTACTGGAAGCATTGTTCGCAAATGGGAGGTTTTCGGGTTCTAACCAGCTCCAAATGAGGATGAATATTTAAACCCACACAGGATGACCGGTCGTCGCTCCTCGAACCAATTTCCAAGCTGAAAAGTGCCCTGGAGTCGACTTGAAATCATTGTCACAGTAGGGTGACAAACACATGTGCATCGGTGATAAGACTCGTCACCGATAAAGGTACTCTGGCATGATCTTTTTGCCCGCGCACAGCTCCCTTGGACTGGCTGCTCGGGTTCTGCGCTTTGTGGTCCTTGTCAAAAGAGTTATTCGATTCCTTCGGTACTCCCGTGCTAGTGAGGCCCACAAGGTCACTAAAAACCTATATACACAAATTCTCTAGAGCGCCTCACTTGGGATCCGGGACGTCTTCACGAAACAACGAGCACAGGTAAATTTGTACGCTGGGCGAGCACACTGAATGCTCGACCACGAGCTCATTAGCCACGCTGTCCATTCACCTCTTCCTTTCCTGAAAGTACAAGACCGTCTTCCTTTCGTACGTCGCTGATTCTCCGAATGCTGACGCCGAGAACCACCGAGAAGAGCAATCAAGTGGCATCCTCACCAACTTCCCTCCTGTGCAATGAAGAGTCTCGATTTCCAACATTTGTCTTCATCGACTTTCCAGAAACCATCCTCAGCCAGAGGGAAAGCGGCACCGAAACTGATCGCTTCGTTCAGAGGGGCGACGAGGGAGGTAGAGAGGAGAAATGCGCCGGAATGCGTCGTTCTTCGACGAGATGAATGCATCAATTGGCCAAACGACCGATCTGGAGTTCGATAGAAAGGAAAGCTAGGGCACGCGAGAGCTGCACGGAGCGACTCGGTTCTTGCGCCCTAAGGCGAGCGAGAAGGGAGGGAGGGAGCGAAGAAATAGAAGGGACGAGCACGAGCGCAGAGATGCAATGGCCTCCGGTGCTGGACGCAAGGGCCGCCGGTGGCCATGGAGAGAAGAGAGCGCGGGGCGAAAGAGCAGAAAGACCGACAAATGTCCGCCTTCCAGAACCAAACTTCGGCCGCGCCCAAAGGTGGCAACGATGGCACGCACCGCGCCCGATTTTGAACTGTTGAGCGAGATCCCAGGAAGTGCCGCGCGAACGTCCCGAGACCCGATTTCGAACTGTTGGCCATCGTCCGTGCGAACCGAAGGGATCGGAGCGTTCGGTTCAACGTGCATGGAGCCCAGCTTCGTCCCGCCCGCCCGCGCCCTCTCGCCGCGCCATCATCCCTGCCGCGCGCTCCTTCCAGCGCCAACGCCAACGCGGACGCAGATCAACCGACCGCCCGTCCGGCCGGCCGGCCTCCACTTGGCAAGAACCGCCGGGCAATCCCGGGCGGGGCAACCGCTGCCGAGCGGGTCGAATCATGCACGTTGTTCCACAGACTGACTCCGATCCCGAGTTCTATTTCGAGAAGGCTTCCGCTTCCTTGTCGGAGTGAGTGCTGGCAGGCTCGGTGCAAATTGTTCGCGTTCACACTGGTGGAGTCGGATATCTCTCACGCCCTCCACGTGAGCCCTAAGGCCCGATCGGCTCACGTGGTTACATTGCGCAGCCGTGGACTGCGCTGCTGGAGCCGATGATTTCCGACAGTTCAGCGGAGCGGCGATTTCGCTCGGCGAGATCCGTTCGAATTCTAATAGGGGCCGAGAGAATTCGATTTCGAATTCCGAGGAGCTGCTTGCGAACGAAACGGCACCGGAGTGGAGGAGGTCACGGACGCATCTTCCCCCATACGCAGTTGTTCGAGAGCTGCGGAAGCTCTGGTCGTCCCAGAGCCTCGAAGAAGTTGATCTCAACCGCAGGTCGCCGTAGTCCGCTTCGGACTTCGGACTTGGAGGTCGTACGCAGTCGGAAGTCTGTGAGAGAGGCCTTAGGGTGGTAACGAGTCCTCGTAAGTTTGGACTCTAGCGTAGCACGTTGTCATGCTCGGGGAGGTTCAGGGCACGTTGGAACACGTTCCGAGGGACCTTCGCGGGGGGATGATGCAGGATCGTGTCTACTTCGAGGGGTGGAGGACGAATTTACCCGATCAGCAAAACGGACCGAGATCCCTCTTCCACCATGCGGAGCTGGCTGTGATAGACTGAGCGGGTGGGGTAGCATTGATTGAGCATTTTCCATCCCATGAAAACAACTCCTCTGTAGCTAGAGTTCCTGCTCATCAGGAGGTATCAAACCTGATGCACAGGACTGCGCTTCGATATTAAAGAGGACTCATGTCTGGGTCGGCAGTCAGAGGCTATTGTAGTGGCCAGGTACGATTTCGGACAGAGGTTAGTACCCTGACTGTTGCCTTAAGTGCTTGGACATTCTACGAAACGTACCTCTCCAGCAATGGGAAGCCTCCACTCTGCCGTGAAATCATGCGCAGTCGAAACAAGAGGAACGGATTCTCTGGCACTAAACAGTCAGGATGTACTACACTCTCATGATGAGCGTGAAAAGGCTGAGGAATGTTGGCAGAAAACGAGAGTACCATGGCATGAGGTTTACCGATCCCATTACATTATCGGCCAATATAGGACCACGAGTGAGCTGGAAAGTGGCAGTCTGAGGATGATGTGCAGTAAGCGCAGGAGGGCATCTCATTAGGAGCGAGTGAGGAGAGCCTAATAATAGAACACAACGTCAGTAGATTATAATAAAAGTCGGAGCCCGGTCGAACATTCGAAAATCCTCACGATGACTTGATAGTGATGGTTGCAAGGAAGACCACTTCACTCTGCAGACAAGGACGGAACTTCACAAGAGTTGCAGGCAGCAGGTAAAAACAGGACGACAGACACGCGATATCATGGAGGGGGCAACTGCGTCCGGGCACAATAAATCATGACATCCACCATCCATTCGTGTGACTATCACTCATTGCAACCACGGAAGTATGAACCGCCAGGGAGACGCATATAGGTAAGTGTAAAGTCCTGGCTCCTTCCCAGTGTGGCTCATATTCCCGGTAGTCCAATTCCAGCTGTCCTTTGGCAAATCTGGTATCCTCAATGAGAGAGTTTCATTTCATCTAAAAAGCATTGACGATATTCTGATATGTACCGTCTTAAGGAATGACAGAAATTTGGCTGTGGCCTGATGATACTACGTAACTGCTTAATTTAATAATAATACAGAACGTAAGAGCTACAGGAAATCATAGTGCAACTCTGAAGCCGTGTACGTGGACTGAATTTCGTCCACAAATGGAAGGGAAGTAGAGCCGAACTTCGCCGCCGTACAGTTCAGTCCAAACCTCACCTATTCACCACCACAATATCAGTCTGCAGTAGGGACCGTAGATTTGAGATCAGCAAGCTTGAGGTAAGCTTTATACAACCAACTTCTTGGCGAACACAGTTTGCACCTGTACGCACCGGAAACTTTCAGCTTATAGCTGACAGATCCATGCCTGACTTTCCCAGCTAGAATATATTTTCGAAACAGGCTTGATTTTTCTGTAACCTATATTCTGATTAGACAGAATGGAGAAGACCACCACCACAAGAGACTCGCAGTAGGTGAAGTGCCGCTTGCAGGTGGAAAAAGTGGCCTCCATTGAACGTAAGAACTCCTTTGAAGCAGGCGAGGAGAGCGGAATTGGTCGCAGAGCTTCGTGCTCAATGACATCAGTCTAACCCACGTTCTGCTTGTTGTGTGGTATCGTCGTCGTGATCTGCTCTCATGTCACTCATAAGATCACTATTCATTTCCTGATGTTCCTCTTCATCCTGGGAGGATTTACCGGTATCTAAGGTATCATTATCTTCAGTTTCGTCTCGGCGATCTGCTAACTCTTGCTCGTCAGTCTCTTCATCTTGAAGAATGTCCTTGTTTTCATCCTTCACAGCAAGCTCAATTCTATCCTCGTCTGCTGTATCCCGGTCAGCCTTATTCTGCGTTTCTTGCTTCGCATCGCCGACCTGCTGTTCTTGATTGGGATTTTCGATTTGGTCGTCATGACCATCGCCAGATTTTTCATCAGTCACGGTCGGCTTACTTCTTTCGTCCATTTCCTTCTCAACAGCCAACGATTCAGTCTCTTTTTTCAGCTGCAACTCCTCCTCTTCTTGTAGTTTGGATCTATCAGCAATTCCAGCCTCATCAGCAGGTTTGACTTCATCTAGATTTTCGTCGACGGTTTTCGTTCCCTTGCTATCTTTGTTCAGCTGCTCAGCGCTTTCTCTGGCTTTGGCAAATGCATATTCCTGCAGCTGAGTTCGAACTGCAACTATCTCTCCCTCCTTCTGGTTCAGTTGTCCCTTGAGCTGTTCCACCTCGACCAAAGCCTTCCTGTGGTTTTCTGTTATATCCTGAAGTTGCTCTTCCCGTTTTTTCAGGGTCGCTTTAAGATCTTCCTGTGTAGAATCAGCATGCCGTCGAAGCTCCGCGAGCTGCTTTTTCAAAAAATCTCTTTCATCTTCCATCACCTTCAAAGATTCATCCTTGCTCTGAGATGCTTTGACATGGTCCTGAAAGAAAAGTAGAAATATAACGTTATCACAAACAAGAAAAAATTGATGCGCAAATGGTGATGTTGAACCACCCGCAGTACAAATCACACAACTAGAAACCAGCGTTGGCTATACCTTGCCTGTGGAACTCTTTCCTTCTGAGTCACACCCTACGCTTAAAAGAAAATAAATTTGCTTTGTTCGACATCGTCTTGTATAGAACTGTATACCTACGTAAACGGAACGTGGGATGTAACGCAAAAAACAGGTTGAATTTCCAAGACGCCTGTAATTTCCTGCCCAAGAGATAACTACGAAACTATGCCCCAAACAAACAAACGCAGGGATAAACAATTTATGAGACTCATTGCAACAGATGGGTTTGACAGACCCAAGGGCCTCAAACTCTGACTGTTGCAGTTATGTCCCAACTCCGGGCAAACTTCCTGACAAAAAGAAACCTAAATCTATCTGGCTGAAGAGAAAGTGCAAGTTGGCAGCATTCTTAAATGGGCATTCATAGTTCTCCAGGTTTACAAGTCTTGAGGAGTCTGAAAACCAGCGACTGAAGCACCATGATTCAGTATTATGACTTGAAGACTTGAACCACATCAAACTTCGTCAGAAGTTTAAATGGGAAAATCTACAACCCATACCACTAAACACAAAAGGTTCTCCCTAGCAACAACACAATCCCTTGTCAAAGTGATCTACTCAGAACCTGCTTACACCATCTTTCTCGTATTCCAAATTTACAAGCACATTGAAAGATTGCCTGACATGGGGCACTTGACTGAGCTCTCAGTAAGGAGGTAATCTACGTGTCAATCAAAATAGAGATCATCTTTTGAGATGTACCTTAAACAGGTCCCCAAATTCATTTCATCACGATCGCTCATAAATTTACTAATCCCTTACGTCAAAATGTATAACTGCCGTACTCAATTTCTCGTCTGAGCAGAATTAACTTGCATCTTGTATCCAGTGGTGCGAACTGGGCGTCACACTCCTTATTGCTTATGATGTCCATTTCCGACATGCACACATACTTCATGCCAGTAATATGTAACGTAGACTAAAATACTTGTAATTCAAATCGCCTCTACAATTTAGATTTGAATGCGACCTTGATGAGCAACATCCTTACCAATCCTAAGCACAACATAATTGACTGGACGAGTCATCTCTACCGCCACCTTACAACCCAATTGCTCATAACAACGGGAAACTTTCAGGACTACATTTTCCATGACACATGATATAACATGAAAGATAACTCTCACCAACATGAACTAGGTGACTTCGGATCACTTCCCCGCCTCTACACCTTCTACACATCGAACCTCTAAACTTAACGGTCGCATTACGACCTATCGATCTTGGTCAATGACTGACTCCATGAAGTTCCGAAGTATCTCTAATGCACACCGAGTCACGGTATTATTTCCACCAACCAGGCCTCTATATCACAAGACCAGGAACATTTCAACGGACACAGATTCTTCGACATACACTAAAAAAAATTGAATGCGTGAACCAGATGCTACCCACGGAATTTTGGAAATGGACTGCTGCCATCAGTCCATTGTAAGAACCACAGAATCGGACTACCCTCAATCACAGCGGTTCTTTTTACGTCGGACTATATCCCTCCACATCACGAAAACCTCGAACTACAGCCGTAGACTTACCTAATACTCTGTTCATGAAAAGGCTCTGTTATTGGTGACAGATGCTACCCCAATTCAAACTGTGCCAGTGGATCGAGGTAGAGCAGATGAGACCCAGACCATATTACACGGTCGGAAGATGCTGAGAATAGAAGATAACTGAGTAGCAGAGAAATCAACGAACCTTCAATTGTGTCTCGATCTTTCCCAGCTCGGATTGACTCTGCTCCAGAAGAGCGCTTGTGTTTTTCCGCTCTTTCAAGGTTTGGAAGCTAACCAACCCCACCAAGGCGAACGCTACCACCACAAGAACCAAGAAGGGAGAGATTCTGCCTTTGAAAGGCATAATCCCCCCCGTGCTCGCCTTTCGCGCCGTGGTGAACGTTTTGTCGACAACAAATCAGTTGTTTCACCTTCCCTCTCCACAAGCCACTAAACCTTCGGCGCTCGCAGAAGGAATTTTCTAACGCCTTAGCTTCGTTCCGAATTCTGCAAACAAAATCTGGGAAATATTTGGGAACTCCGCGCCTCTAATTCTCCGTAAGCATCGACTAGAAGACTTCCCGAAACTGAACTCAGCCCGTATTCACAACCTGTGGGTTTCCGCTCAATAACCGTCCATCCGATTTCCTAACGGTGAAAACCTTCGAGCCGATAATGATGGAAATCTTCGCACCTGCTCCGCTCGTCTCTCTCGTTCTACGGGACTCTCTACCTACTTACTCTCGCTCTCTCCGACACTGTACAGCAGGAGCTCGAAATTTGCAGGGACAACAGTGATTGGATCTGGCAAACTGCAGTCTTCCGGGCTCTGAGAAAGCGCCGTCTCCCTTTATACACTTGTGCAGAATCGAGCAAGCGGGATTCAAACTGCCGAACTGCAGTCGTTCGGTCTGCTTCAGCGTCAACGTCCTGTCTGCCTCTCGCTCTCTCTGTGTCTCGCTCGCCACGCAGCGACGAGCCAGCGTGGGCACGCTTCACTACCGCTCCTTCCGCCGGACGTTTAGGCAGGCCGACAAGATACCGTCCAAACGAAGGTCCACTCTTACACGTCCACTTGCAATTCTTCCTCACCAGCTCGCTCTACACGCCGCTGTAGTAGCAGACCCCCGAGCAAGTGACGAGCAAGGGACCAAACAGGCTACGAACTGCGCAGAGCACCTGTCACGAGAGAAGGCCGCATAAAACGAAAACGAGGACGAGGAGGATTAAAGGACGAGCAGCAGGCGAACAATCGATCGATCGAACGCCCAATCGATGGCTCAGTGAGCTGAGTCAATTCATAATTGAGTCAATCGACGGATCGATCAATCGGAAGGAACAATCATTCAATCAATCGATGAGTCAATCAATCAATCAATCAACCAATCAATCGAGCAATGACAATTCCAAATCTCCCAATTTCCGCCCCTTGTTTGCCAACTGTTCCCCAAAAGGTCAGAACATGGATTTGATTTATTCCTTCCTTCCTTCCTTCCTGCACGCCCTCTGCCCTTTCTCCTCTCTCCCGCCCTTAAAACCTTTTCATTTTTCCAGATCCCATTCTTATCTCCGGATCGCACACCCTTGCCCCAACAACAAAACCGCCCTCGCTCTCTCCCTCGCCCTCCTCCTCCTACTCCTCATGTCCGCCATCTCCCCTTCTCATCCTCGCGCCTCCTCCTCCTCCCTCTTTCTTTCTTTCTTTATTTCTTGCATCCGCAGCTCTCTTCTTTGAAATCGTCGTCGTCGTCGCCGTCGCTGTTCGACGCTCCGTTCGAAAGGTCCTTTCCGCTGATTTTCTTGCGCCTTCGGTCTTCAGCCGCTGGAGCCCGGGCCAATATTCTGCCGTGTCGGTGCATTCCTTGCCTCCATGTTCGGTTTCCTTTCTCCCTCCAAGTTAGCGGCACTGACAAATTAGGCCTAGCTATCGATGGTCCCGTCGTCAAGCTTAGACCTCAGGTTTACGTTTGACTTTGCATTTCGAGTCCGGGCTCTTGTTGAACGACGTCGTTGGAGATCCTCTGTGTACCGGCCGGCTCCAAATTTGGGGAGATTCTTTTGACTCTGGTCTTTGGACCTGCCCCTATTTTGGTCGTAGTTATTGATGTTACCCGGTTCACTGCTTTTCACCTTGTGGTACCTTCTCCTCATACTCGGTCGACACGTGTAGCTGGACGACTTGGGTTTCAGTTCAAATCGCCATCGCCGACCCTCTCCGAGGCTACTAATACTTAAACCGCAGGTTAGGTTTCTCTCGCTCCAACCGCGTTAGGTTGATCAGGGATGTATCTTAAGCTACGAAAAATCATTCTATATATCTTATCTCATATCTCAGAAAATAATCGTAGAATAAAACTGAAAATCAGTCACCTCTGTTCTAGTTCCAAAACGAAACATTTTAAAAACAAGAAAAAATCTCGTGACGTATCAAGGCTGAGTCATAACTTGTCACAACTTTATATATTTTACAATAACAAACTTGGCACAAGAACGCTTGGAATGATTCATTCCCTTCCTGGACATAATCAATGACTCATTCTTATTTTAGCTCTATCAAGACATCCTTGTTAGTGTTTAAAGACATTGTTTTAAAGACCTATTTGTCTTTATTTGTTAGATAGCATAGCAATAACTCCTGCACAAGAGAGAGAAAATAGATATCAACACATTATGGAGTTTAGCGCATTATATTATGCTGCACCTCAATGTGTTCAATCCGAGCATTAAACGCATCATCACATAACAATCTAAATGAATGTAACATATATTACATTCAATTATTACATATATTACATTCAATTTACCGAATAGTAAAAGAGATCAACTCATATTATATCATAAGTGTCCAATCCTATGAATTGATCCTCAATATTGGCATCCATTATGTACTCCAGGTCTGTATTTTACAAAATTATTGCACTCCTTGAATGGCCAACAAGTATTTTTCTTTTTGTGAAGCTAGAGATATATCACATATCTAGATATGTTACTCCAACTTCAAACATCAAGTGATGTATTTTTAGTCTGCAAAACCAGATTTACATACCCTACAACCTTGTTATTTGATACTTCATAGCAAGTTTATTACGACCGATTTTATATGATTCAAATATATTCTTGCACGTAAATAGATCCAAATATTAAGTTTAAAATAAACCTCAAATCATTTCATCTTGTATCGATATTAATTCTATTACCTCATTTCTTTTATCTTTTAGTTATCTCTGTTTTTGTTGATAAAAAAATTCAGGATGTATGTCCTTACTTATACTCTGAAAAAATATCTGTTAGTAACACAAAGACACATGTACATCCTTGCATATGCTCATAAACAATGACTCATGATATTTACAATGAGATAACATATCTATGATCCTTATCTTCGTACAACTATTCCATGTGTATAGTAATTATAATATTTCATGTGTATATTAATATAATAAATTTCACGCATTTCGTTGCATTATTGGTGAGTGATAAATTAATTTTGATCAAAAAATTTCAATTTTTTTTAAAAAAATATTATTATCTTTGTCTAAAATGAATTTATAGCTTATTCAAACATAATTAAAGATTGAAAAAGTAAACGATTTGATGTTTAATGCTTTTTATTCGTATCTATGATGTATTATGTGTCTGGCCATCTTTCCATTACTTTGCATCACAATTACATGTCTTGATTAAGAAACTTTATTATAATTCAAGTTTAGTATTGCAAAAGCTTTTTCATCAGTTGTAGACATTATACTATTATGTGCTGATCATGCTGGAGCAATTTTCGAAGAGGATTGAATTGTTGAAATCGACTGACATCGAAGAAAATTTTCAAAGAAATAATTAAAATAGTTTCATTACGTATCCAGTCTTGTGCACTGTAGAAATTGCTAATTAACTCGACACTAAGTTTTTTGGCGACTTTCATCCTTGGTGTTGTATCAGGCTATTACTAGAACATTGTAGTAACGAAATATGAGAATGGGAAGATAGTACTGGCATGATGTTACAAATATTGCACCGCACACAAAATCAGTGAGTACAGTACTGAAGAGCATAAGCTTCAAAACACTTCAAAGTGTGTACTTGGGCAATATTTTTGCGAGGTAAGTCTCGCGTTAACAATAGTTGATTATAGAAAGAATCTCGGATTCATAACGGATTAATCCAACTCGGACGATGAGCAGGGAGAGATTTTTGCAGCCAACAAATGTATCAAGTCGTTTGATTTTGTCATCGTGTAAGTTACGGTTTGGAGATGCTCAGTCTATTGTTTTTTAAATGACGGTGCTGGTTAGCGGCTCCCTTAATTATATATGTATATATGCGTAAGTTCTTGCGGCCAGTTCCTTAGTTCCAATGGGCGTATTCAACGGGTGAATCTGCAGACTGCTCAAAGTCGGCCTTGTGACAGATTTGATTTCAAGTTTTCCTTTTCCTGTAAAATGTTCGGAAGTTTTCAACCCGTAGTTGTCTTTGTCAACTCTGGATGTGAATAAGTAAGTACATGTGATTGAATGTCGTGACTCCATGATTTCACATGTTGACTTTACACTAGCAACTTCTATGAAGGCGAATAAATTTCTTTTAACCCTTTGCTGATATGACTAATTTGGCACGTAATTGCTTTCTGGTTTCACTTGAAATCACTAAGTTGTATGGATTGAGGTACATGTATATACACATTTTATATGTACGTAACATCAAATTTTCAAGGTATAATAACAACCTGCAAATAATTTCCTCCTCAAGTCTTCATATAGCTACGATTATATAATGAAGGTGTAAGACACTACACGCAATTTAAAATTGTGGGTTCCATACGAGAGCTTGAAATGGCCTCGGAAGCTAAAATCGTTTTAAGGAAAGAAACCTGGAAGTCGGTAAATCAATTTTCCTCTAATATATTAGAAGTTCAAATGTCCATTTTACAGGGAAACTCATCAAGAGCAAATGTAGCAGCTTTTCTGGCAAGCAATAAGTTTCATTGGGCGAACTTAACGCAAAGGCTTTGTCTTGGACTGAAGTGCAAGGAAAGGCACCTGCACTTGTCGGGGTGCAGTTAGTTCGGCCGCATGGCAGAACGCAAATTTCGGCCGAACGGTTTGATGGAAGTGGGAAGGGAGAGTGCAGTGATTGAGTGCTGCGCAGGGCAGCGGATTCCCTGCGCTCTTCGTTGAAGCTTCGTCGGGTCCTTGGAGCGCCATCGAGAGAGCTAGAGCAATTTGGCCACATCTCGCTTCGACTGATTTTGCGCAGCACGGTCCTGTGGGCTGCTAATCCTGCGTCGTTTGTGGCCGTCGGTGTCGGCCTTTCTCCGAATCGTTTCTTCTACTTTCGAGTCACCGCGAGAAGCTTCCTCGAGTCTACTCGACATCGAATTCGGGTTAGTTTTTCTGTGGTTACGAGCTCTGTTAGTAGAAGAAGTTTGGATGTTTTAAGGGAGAGGAGAGGATTTTTGAACTTTTTGTCGTTGCAAGTAGCCTCCTGAGTATCACCTTTACGTGGGCGAAATTGCGAGTTTCGAGTGGACTATTTGATTTTACGAGATAGAGAATGGATGTAGGGTCTCTCCTCTCGTAATTCTCGAGAGGATGGTTTGAATACCTGTTTTCCGACCCTTTGTGAGTAGGATCCGTGGGAGAGAGCTTGTTTTCCGACTCTCATTATTCTTATCGAGGGTTTCTTTAGGGCTGCTGTACAAGAGGATTCGTTGTTTCATTTTTAGGTTACCATTAGATTGTGATATATGAGTCCAATTTCTTGATTGAGCGCAGAGCGTCGAAGTGCCGGTGTCGTGCCTCTTCGAGCTAGAATTTTTGTGCATAGCGCTGAAGATACTCTGAGGGGCGAACGAGATGTTGGCATCGCCTGGCCACTCGCCTCGCCATGTTCCTCCATCCCCATCATGTAGCGTGAAGAGCGTGGGAACTGATGTCGGGCTTAGAACATCACTGTCCCTCGCCTCGACATCGGGGAGGACATCCATGCGCCCTCCTCTTCCGAGAAAGCGAAAGTCAGCAGCAATTGCCTTGGATGAAGACACTTACGTGGCTGCTGTGGAGAAAATTATCGAAAGGGACTTTTTCCCAGATATTCCGAAGCTTCAAAATCGGCTGGAGTGGCTGGAGGCTGTTAGGACAGGAGACCCTGTTGTAATTCGAGAAGCACAAATGAATATAATCAGGAGACGGCGGGACAAGGAACGAGAAAAACTCTCTGACAGGGACGGTGGCGAAGCCTTCTCAACACCTGGGTCTTTTGTGTCAGGAGCCTTCAGCCCGCTTCTTTCTGTGAGGTCTTCACCAGCACCCTCGCAATTGTTCATGGACACCGATGGAAATGCTATACCTAATTCATCGTCCGGAGATACTGACTCTTCGGTGGATACATCCCTTACCTTAGATCAGTTCTTAAGCCGCTACACAAGTGAAGACAATGCAAGTTTCTCGAGGATTTTGAACAAAGTGAACAAACAAAAGAGGGAGAGATTCCGTTTTCTTTCTGAGAACGAGCTTGTCTCGCCTACTTTGAGAATCACTTCGGCCGAAGACCGTGTTACTGATGGTTTTGGTACTTCTGGACAACCGGAGGCCACATTAGATACTTGGGCCTACAAAGCCAAGAATCTTCTTATGTACGATTCTGCAGACAGGGATGATGCACCTCTTACTGAGAGAGAGAGGGAAGAAAAAGTTGAGGGGCCACCGAAGGAAATTAGCAAGACCAACACACGGTTTCATGGGAAGATGTTTGACTCTAAGGTTCGAGAGGAAGATACGGTGGCCATTTTGTACACTCCTGTTCCCGGGTCCACCCCGGCTGCGTGGCCGTTTGCTGAACGGGATGCCGAGAGAGCTCGTAGAAGATACGACCTTGAAGATCTTCGGAAGAGTCCACAAACCTTTGGCGATGGCGGGGCGTCCAGAATCGCATTTAAAAGCGGTGTCTCCGGGTACAGTTATGTGGCTACCCCCTCGATGACTCCGGGTGTCGAAGAATCACCTTTCATGACGTGGGGAGAGATTGAAGGCACCCCACTGAGACTAGAGACAGAGGATACCCCCGTCGGTATAGGTGGTAGTGGGGATGGTCCTCAATTCAAAATCCCTGCCCCACCTTCTAGAGATGCAAGGGCGCACAGTTTGTCTAGGGATGCCGCGCGCAGTTTGAGGGAGAAATCGAAGGTACTACATGTAAGCCACACACCGTCACCAGCTAGAGGTTCCTCAAGTCCAGGTATGAAGACCCTTTCGGCTGCAGCTCAGAAATTTGTAAGCAAAGCGATGGCCAAGAGTTGTTCGGCAGTGGATGCAAGGCTGAGGGCGAGTTATAGAGCCAGCACCACTCCAGGCACCCCGAGAATGGCTCGTGATGCGGTTAGATCTAGAGAAGGAAGTGTAGCATCAAGAGAAGGGAGCCTTCCACTGCGATCTCCTTCGGTTGTCCGAGAGGCAAGCATTCCCTTGTGATTATATCACACGCAGGCACGGCTAGACAGAAAACGGAATTGACAACCCACACGAACATTTGATGCTCGCGAGATTTGTATAATATGCCGATTGTCACTTTCCTCAGGTGGCCTTTTTGTTATTACAATAACGTACGACAGATAGCTGTTTGCGATTGTACTGCGAGTTGGCACGTCGCCACTATTTTGTTGGATAGAGTCGCATCACATAATGTAACTAGATTGTGCAGATTGTGTATGATCACGGTCTGCGTGCACCTGGAAGTGGTGGAGGTTCTCGTGACGCTGAATCGTCTGTCTGTGTGCCAACTGTGAGGCGCAATTTTTTGTACTACGTTCTGTTAAATATCAGTTGGAAAGAATTTTTAAGTTGAATTGTTCTGTATTGAGGTTTGAGTATATTATAGTTATATTTTAGTGTTTTGTGTAGATGCATGGATTGTACGTTACCAGGAATTTCTGGTCGGTGCTAGGAGCCGCGAAGATGATGCAAGTGTTATGGAGGAGTAACAGTGGTATCAATTGCATACAGGCTTATCATGAGTATGAATGAAGCAATATATTTGCTGTTTGCCACTCAGTGGGCTGTGAAGTATTTGACATTATAACTAGTGATCTGTTTGTATGCCGGCATGGAATATAAACGAGTCTTTTCTATTCTCGTTCATTGAGTGTTGCGATCATGCAATACACGCTTCAAGAAAACTGATTATGAACGTGTAAGCGAAGAAGAAATTGTATGAGGAACATCCACGTGAATTGGAATATGCGGCTAATATTTTACTCACATCGTGATCAAAACTTCTCGTTACATGTCCCACTGTGCTCCCGATCGGAGTGAGACCAAAATTGCAACTCATGATTCTATCGATTATTCCCCTCGTGTATGCTTTTGAGGGGAGTAGTGGTAGGTAGATGACTCTTTTCTACATGTACACAGTTAGGGATACAGACCAGCGACATTTGTTGACTGTTTCTTCTGAGCATCAACCGTCTATAAGAGAGAGGAGGGAAAAGAGGCAGAACTATTCCAGCATATACTCTTGTGCTATACGAGAGGTGGGTATAGTTCATAGCTCCCATCATACCCGTTGTCATTTCCAGACTTTGGGAGGCAAGGGACCAAGATCAGCGAGCACAGTGCCAAATTGGCCGAACATCCTTAGTGTTTTATCTCTGTTGCTGGCATTCAGTTCAGAGATTCTTTCCTTCTGATCATTCCTTGTCGTGGGCAAGGTGGTTGGTTGCTTCGACGTGAACTCCACTTCCAGGACTACCGTCTCCAGTAAGAGTCCGGGCCGTTTCTCAATCTCAGTTTCGCTGATCATACCCTCAGACCAGCCACTGTCTTCACATTTCTATGTCATACTTGACAGCGGCTCTTCTCTCCAGCTAAGTCTAGATTGGTAGTCGGATGGGAAATCAAACGAAGTGCCTACATGTCAGGTACCATACAACTGTAAGCTCAAATATTTGCATGCAGATAAGACAGACGGTGACGAACTGGATATATTCTGAGTGCAAACAGAAACGAACTGAATAATCTCCCTGTAATGAAGTGATCTCTTTGCAGCTGACTGGAGCTTTGAAGTGGAAAGTACCATGGTAGCCGCGAGTCTTCTTGCCACCTTCTTATCCTCACTTTGAGAATTCCCCATTACCAGCTCATTGATTATAACTTGAGCCTGTACGAACCCTTCCGTACAGTTCACGTGAATACTCAGATTCCATCCTCGTTGCAGACAAAGAGTTTCCAACTGTTTGATTGGATGCAAAGTTACCGTAAGGGGAGTAGCTAGAGGCTCAAGCAACGGTCTGACGATCTGCAAGTCCAAGGAGGTACAATGGATCAGGCCAACACTACGGGCAAAAGTCAAGCCTGTAGGATCCGCAAGACGATAACAGTAGCGGAAAGCTCTGGATTACAAAGGACACCAAACTCGTGTAAGATTGGTGCTCACTGACATTCTGAAAGCCAGACACTCACGTGTAGCTTTAAGTAGAGGATACGGACCTTCCAAACTAGTTCAATATCAAATCCTGAGTCCAGAAACACAACGGAAGCAATGGTCTGCAATAGATCTCCAAGGGCCTGCAAAGGAAGACATGAACAGCAACAGTATCCTCAACTGCCCCTCGCCCCGTCTCTTCAAAAAGAGTTCTGCCAGAAAATTAATGATCACATTCGAACAAAACTAGCAGAGATATGTAGATGGCATATTGAACATAGCAGAAGTTCTTCTCTGTTAACAAAAGGTACCCTCGTACCCCGCTCCTTAATCAGTGGGAAAATACTTCAGGTGATCAACATCACTACTACTTACATTACACGCCTTCTAGTCAACAATATCACACCTTCCCTGCTGTCCTAAAATATAATAGAAATCATACAACGACCACAATCAAAACAGTGCAATCTCCCCTTCATCCGACTTCTCTTTGCGTCTAGCCTGCACTAGGGCTTGACGGTGGTTGACCATGAAGGTGACGAAAACATACATCTACAGTAAGACCTCCTTTGAGTCATCCTTTGAGTCACGGGCTTTCCGCGGAAGACGTGTTAGTCTCAACACAGAAAAGAAAGCATTGGTGTATGAGATTTTTACCCTGGGTGCGCAGACATTCGACAGCCCAAAAGCTTTACCCCCCTCTGAGATGTACGAACTCACGAACTCAGCAATGGACTTCTTGAGAGATGGAGAAACTTGCCATAAGTATGGGTGGAGGCGGTGGCGCACCGCCACTGCAGCAAGATTCTCATTGTTCCTTATGGCTTGTTTTAATTCACTCAACTTGCCCTCGTCCAACTCCTGGTATGTACCCACTAAGTGACGGGTTATGACAAAGTCAAATATCCCATCCCCTAAAAATTCTAATCGCTGAAAAAGGAGACTGCAGGTAGATTTTTGTGAATCGTAATTCAAGGCCCCAGCAAGAAGGCACTTGTTCTTGAAAACGTAGCCTAGCTTTCTCTCGAGCCTATCCACGTCAATCAGCTTATATAAATCCAGAGAACTTGCTTCTGCAAAAAGGTTGCTTATAATGGCTTGTGGCAATGTCGGAGGAAATTTGATTGGGACACTGAGCCAAGCCATTGCTTTCAGAGCAACATCAAGACCACTGTTCATGAGATAAGCTCCTATCAAAGCCTCGACAATGTCCGCTAGTGTCCTGCAAGAAACGAGAAGAAATCTCTGCCTTTTGTCTTTCAACATGCAGGTCTGGTTCATCTCACATCGTATCAGACCAGGAGGGATCCACAAACTTGGGGCGAACGGCTCCACAAATACATACCGTGGCAAGTCACGGACTACAGCACAATAAAAGAGTGTCTTGTTTCTAACAAGTTCATAAAGAGTGGCTCCAAGCTGATCTTGAGTTTGAAGAATATCCTTGAGGAAAAGAAACGTGCACCCGGTAAACTTGAGTATACTGTCCCCTAGAAGCTCTAAGGCCTCGTATGAAACGTCACCTTGGCAGGCTCGAGATGTCAACGCTTCTAACACCTGCAGAAGCAAGTAGATGCTCTTAATCAACGACATCACGGCAATAAAACCCTGCCGAATTTCCGAACGTATGCACATATATTTAAAGATCCATTGGATTGTAACCAGCATTCATTGAGAATCCCAATAATTCATTCTATGTTAAATTACCTTCATTCAGATTCCGACTGAAACTACCCGTTATCAGTAGAACAACTGGAGCGTATGCACATATATTTAAAGATCCATTGGATTGTAACCAGCATTCATTGAGAATCCCAATAATTCATTCCATGTTAAATTACCTTCATTCAGATTCCGACTGAAACTACCCGTTATCAGTAGAACAACTGGAGTTTATAAAAAACGGCCCCTGAATCTGGAGACAAACCATTGCCTGCTCACTACCTCAGGAGGAGCCTTCTTTTTTAATTTCCTCAAAATTATAGCATCATTACAATAGTATTTCTAACTGGGTTTTCTTGGTTGTGTTTCTTTACTATTAGAAGTCCATCTTAGATTACACATACAATCCAAAGTCAAAATACCCTGCATGTCTGACGCGAATAACAGTCGATTGAAATCAAACAACCGAGCTCTTTACACAGTATGAGACTCTTTAATATCTCCAATATCAACAAAATTGAAAAAACTGTGGTCCCATGAACAGGGGCGAGTCCTCATCACAAAGTGAGTTTCAACTGTACCTTGAAGCATGAAATAGGTAAACCAATTCGATCCCGTAGCTCAGCAGCTAACAACGCCATCTCAAGACTGTACAAAACAGACGGTAGTCGCATAGCACCACGACAGAGACGCCCTTTGATCCCCAGATGAAGGGAACAAATTTCTGGAGGCAGCTCCAAACGTTCGTTTGATTTCGGAAGGTCTTTGCCTGCAGATATTCTTGCTTCTCAGAACTCGCATCCAACAAGTTTGGATGACCAGGCGCGTCTCGCCTGATGAGTTGAGCAAGACAAGTACAGAGAGAGCAAATATCTAGGAACACAGGTTTCAGTTGACGAGTGGTACATGAGAACAGAGTTTGCACGATAAGCAGTGGTTACCCTTTGCTGCATCGGGTTCCTGACGTTTCAAGTAATTGGACGCCCGTAACAGTCGGCAGCCCTTCAAGAAGGGCTGATCTTTGAATCTCAACTGGTATTCACACCTAAGACACAACAAGACCACGGTTGTCAACATGATGGTCCTTCTTCGTCGGTGCCCTCAGATAGTATGACGTCTAGAGCCATTAGTCAAAATGTATATGTCAATAAGTGATGCCATATATCCCCGACCTTCAGTTCCAAGAAACAATATCCTTCTAGTACGCGCAATTACATTTTCAGCTACACACAGACAATTGACCAGACTTCTTCTAACTTGTGGAAAAGAGATTGTATCATCAAGCTTACTATACCACCACCTTGGGGAACATTGACAGTCGGTTTTGAAAAGCGGAGCTAGTACGATGACAAAACAATGCAAGGAAATCAAAAGGGGTAGCCGTCGATTTGTACGTGGCCCATTTGGAATATGTACACATAACAGCAGCTCAATTGATGCATGATATAAAACGATCTCTACCAGAAGTTCATACTTCGAAGCATAGTAGTCTGCATAGGACAGGCTTCGGATGTTATCACTCGAGGGGAAGCAGCTCCAACCGTTTAAATGCTCCGATATGGCAGTGACGTAACAAGGCATGCCATTGTGGGCACATGTGATCATGGCATCGTCCAGATCTCCTTCTGAGAATCTTCCATTTCTCAAAATCAACTGTCCTGCTTCCAAGTCAGTCACATCACAGTCGATATCTGCTGCTTCCAACTTCGCAAAACCGCCAAAGAATTTCACCTTTTTTCTGTAGATCATACCAGAGATCAGGGCAGATTCTACAACGGTCCAATCAAAGTCCACCACATGTTCGATTTTGTCCATCAAGGGTAGAATGTAGTAGCCTTTGGGACTATCGATGTATTTTGGTGTAGATCCAGCTGGAAAAGGTGGCTTTCCCAGAACGACATTGAACAGCCAAGCATTGAAGCGTTTGGTAAGATCAAGCTGCACATCACATTCGGTTAGAAAACAGCAATCAGAAACACGAATAACACGAACGCAAACGCTAGTCATTTGTGACCTCGTAGAAAGTATCAGAGCAGAAATGTGATAAAAGAGCAGGAGAAAGATATATGTAGTAATGATATCCTCAGTCACATCTTAGACAACTAAGAATTGAACTGACGGACAAACACTATTACTAGTAATTGTACTACTAGCACCGTCGACATGAAGTTTTAGGATGATTCTTGGAAGCTGATGAAAGAACTACGCTATATGCCAACAGATCATATCAGAACTTCCTCATTTGAGTTTGCCAGTCAGGCAGGCCAATCAAATCATAGCAGATGGCTCTTTGACTTAACTCCTATGCCGGATCTAGTACATGAGTCTTCCGAGTTCGATTGCAAATTCCTCTCTAAAAGAGACTACGTACAAGTCCCAATCATAGACCAACACAAGTGCGGGGCCAATATATTTGCCGGCACTATGATACCCGCACACGAAAGTAAACTTTACTGGGCAATGTCATCAACTCGACGTGGAAACCAAACGATGCGGTCACTCTATTCATCGAGTTAAAGAATCAGCATTAAATTTGTCAGTGCCCATCGGACAGTGACTCGTGGAGTAAGGAAAGCATGATCCGTAACAACAAATCGAGAAACGTTCAGACTCCGCATGGGATAAGACCGTCACTATTTGAAAATGTAAAGTGAAATTTTCTGTTCCAGTAGTACTTTGATTTTGCATTCTGTATCATACAAACTCACTGTAATGCTCACTACATTCGGTGGGAACCCTAAACTCGTCATGTGGTAGCTCACATCTAGGGAGACCACCTTCAGCTCGAAAATAAAATTACAGTTTGAAAAAACATCCGTCGTAAGCAATTCAAACTAAACAATCCATCCCAGATAATACATTTCTCTCACCTAGCATTAGATGTTCTAGCACAGAAGCACAAGATCAGCACAAACTGGCAGCTTATGTATATCACGAGTTCAGATTAGTGAGAAAAATGAATGCTTGCGTAATCAAAAGGAACTAACCTGATCGGCAGTGAGCGCTATAGTCCCACAAGCCTTGGTGTTGGCCACTACACACGCTTGAGAAGGCAGATACAGGTTAACCGACATTTGAGCTACTTCGGCATCCAAACCTTCAGCAGTGATCAGGGCAAAGTCAGAGGCCAAGTTCTGATTTGGATCAGAACCAATGTCGACAACACTGAAGCGGATAGAGTAGACGAAGAATTTGAAATTTCCGAGAGGATCCAATGTCGACCTCGTACTCACAACACCAGCATACGATCGTTCATAGTGACGCACAGGCAAGGGCCAGGGTACATCCTTGGAAGTGTATTTTATTTTCGGACCAGGGGGTAAACAGTTTGCAACACGATCGGAAGGTGATTCCAGATCCCAGAACATTCCGTCCAGAAGCTGCCGACACTCCCCTGGGAGGGGCCACAGAGAATCCATTTATGACGTGAATGTTTCAATGTCACCAAACTGAATCCACCACATCGTTCGACATAATCAGAGCACAATTTGGCCAGTTTACCGCTTCCGCAATAACCTGCAACAGATCGAGCCAGTGAATTTTTTTTACATTTGCAATATTTAGAAGACATTGAAGGCAAAATCGTCTTACACAAGGGGGAAGAGACACAACAGGCAACAAAGAAGCAGACGGATTCAAACGAGCTGGACCAATTTCCGAAGACAGAAGTTAGAGAATGCTCAGTCGGTATCTATCACTGCGTGAGGAACCTAGGAAACTTGGAATGTTAAATAGTTGTCCAGGAAATGACTAGATCAGAGATAATTTACTAGATCTGAATGATAAGTATTAGCTCAAGGCTTTTCGATTCATATTAATTTCGAGCATAGCGGAGCCCATAATTGCAATCACTGCAACGTGAGAAATTGCGTACATGCCTACGATTCGAAACTAACCGTTGTGAAGATTGAGGGACCAACTGATTCGCCGTGACACATTACGCAATAGAGGCGCTTAAACATTCTGCTGATGATTGGGAACCGCAACACAAGCGTCACTCAACTTTAGGTGCTTATATGCACACTGAAAATGCTCAGACAATCCGAAGTGTTGAAATCACCGAAGAGAAAGGCAGCAGCAATCCATAGGACAGAATGGGGATGATTCGATCTCTCTGGGGCACGAAAGCGGCGAATTCGAAGAGGAATCTTCAAACTGAGCGGGAACAAGGATGAGTAGACAACCTGAGTCGACTGAAAATTGAAGGAGAAAAGAGGAATCTTCGGACGACTTAAGCGGGAACAAGGACGAGGAAAAGACAACCTGAGTTGACTGTAAAATTGCAGGAGACAGCTGCCACTTTCCCGCGACCGATTCCACTGCAAACCAGCTAAGGAGAAGCTAGTGGATTGCTAAGCTGTTTCGCGCATGTCCGAGAAGATAATTTGGGAACGACCAGAAAATGTGAAGTACAAGTACGAGTTCGATAATACTAAACATTCCTTCCTCGACTTCATGGGGGGATGCTCGCTTACGTCGCCTGAGAAATGAAAATGGTCTATATCGCATTTCATGCTCAGACCTCAGGACATTCTTCAACTACTTCGCGTGTACAAGAAGGTAATGCATACGGAGGTGCAGGGGGGAGTAAATGAAATGTCAAGTAAGCAAGTAATGAAACAAATCCCGTACATCCCAAAGACTAATCTAGCCGCCATTTGTAGAGAGTTAATCCTTCGTGTCCACTACTACAAGCGCGAGGTGCTAGGGGAGGTCGCTGCAGAGAGAACGAGCTTTCGAGCAGAATAGTCTCAAATAGAGTCTCAAAGTACAACGCGCGGAACGACAACAACAAAACCCCCGAGTAGGAGACAAGTTCGACTGTACGGAATTGAGGCAATTTAAAATTGAAGTAACGATTGGATTTTAAAACCTACAGGAAAGGATCGCGGAACGGTAATTTCGAGAACGAAAGTACAATTGCAGCATTGTGAAATTCAAATTAAGGAGCCGAGCGAGTATAGAACTGCTTCGAGCTTCTCCAAACTAATGCCAAACAAAAATATCAAAGTTAGCATCAGACGAAGAAGTGTAAGGCAACTCACTCCTGTACCAGAACCAAGATGGCATTTGTAGGAACAACCAGCGGGACGCAGAAGCTCCCTGCTACAAACATCATATACCTCGCGCGCAACCTTTTACTCAATGAACAGTCGGCCTTAGCTAGATAATACGAGTGTACGAGGTACTGAAGGCACGGGAGGATATGGCAGCAGAAGACAGATTCACACCGCACCGCCCGACCAGGAAGTAATGAAGGAGGCAGTGGATCCAATTAACTTCGACTAAGGGCAATCGTGATGAGTAAAGAAAGAGATGGACAGGTTCGCAAGAGAGAATGCGTATATTCAACCGTCGTTCAAGCGCGTCCGTCGTGGAACAAAGGAGAGAGGAGAGAGGGAGAGAGAGAAAGAAAGAGAAAGAAGAAACGTAGAGGGAGAGGGCGTCAGATACATTCGTCAGGAGGGGAGAAAATGATGGACGATATGACCAATTATTCCCATCCTAGATGCAATGAACAGTTCAACCGACAATGATTTCCATCTACGTTGCCAGTCGTCTGACGAAGGTAACGCCTGGCCAGCGGCAACAGGTAAAAGCCTCGTAAGATTGCAATCATCGATAGATCCAAAGCAGACCGTCGAGAGCCGCGGAGACTCTGGACCGAAGCAAGCTAGCAGATTACTGACTCGCGAGGGACCCAAGAAAAAAAAACAAAATTATTTCGTGCTGATCATCGTGACGAGAATAAACGTAGAACGAAGAATGATTGACGTCGGATTAGTCGCAGCCAAGTCATTCCCAGAGAATAACTTCAGCTGGACAGCAGCCGAAAATACCACTTTACCCCGATGAGCGCAGCCGCGTAATCAGGCCTCGAATGTCTACACATCGTGCCAGATATCTTCTTCGCCAGCCAGCACCAGACATCCACTCCACGCACCCCCCTCCCAAATCTTACGTCAAATTCTCTCCTGATCATGAGCGGCATTCCCAATGGCCACCCTCCTCCCAATTTATCACCCGCCTCGCAGCATCAATCAAATCCAGCGCCCCGGGATTCAAACCAGCAGCTGCAGCAGCGGAGAACGTTTGCCGGGAGACGTTACCCAACCGGACGAAGGCACGCCCAAGAAAGTATATGTCAGGGAGGCGAGCAAGGGTCCAAGGGCAGGCAGGAGTCCGGGACCGAACATCGTCGGCGCTTCAGCGCTGGAAGGCCCGGCGCGGGTGCTTCTCCGGGCGCCTCTCCTCGGCCTCTTCTGCCCGTGCTTGTGCTCTTCATGAATCGCCGCCATTCTCTCCCTGTCTGGTGCTAAGGACAAACGACACTTTCCCGTCCGGTCCGTCACCGTATGTATACCCGAGACCCGAACCCCGGGCTCGGGCTCGGGCTTGGACTTAGGCTTGCCATCGCACTGTACTGCACTGGCCCCGCAGATGGGACAAGAGTCCCTGGGTGGGGGGGGGGGGGGGCGCGGGCGGGGGCAGGGTCGGCTAGGCTAGGCTCTACATGTATTGTACTGCCTTTCGTACTGGTCACGTGTAACGAGGAACTCGCTTCGTGTTTGTGTTGTCTCTTTCGATATTAGAACATGGCATATGGGGAGGGTGGAGACGCTGGACCGGTATTGATGGAATCAGATGGGTACATGCATGCATGCATGCCCTTGCGTACCAGGGCGTATTCGGGATTTACTTTTACCATTATAATGCATTCAGCGAAGCTCGTGTTTTGTTGAATGCGTTTTGATAGTAAAAGTAAGTCTCGAAGTCTACTTTACAAAGTAGGACTTTGGGGTTGTAATTACTACGCACTGCTTATGAACAAAAGCGTTCATCGTGAACCTGCATCCAGTGAAATAGTTGATTGTGAACTTTCCCTTTCCTTGAGACTAAAAAAACCATTATTTTTTTCAACTGGCTCTTATGGAGACAGCAGACGATCCCATGAATTGAGAAGGATATCTCGTAGGGACTCTTTCCTACGAGAGATATGATCTTTTTCATATTAAGTGCTCACCAAATTCTACTGAGCTCTTCTAAAGCGTTTTCTTCTTGTTTGGTATGAGGTCTGTTCTCGACGTCGTTGGCATTCTCTTTAAGAATATTCTCTTTTGTGCACATATTACCAAGCATGTAACCTGGTTGTTTGGAAAGAGCAACATGTGAGTCCGGAAACATGTAAAATTGTGGTCGTGACGAACCCCCCTTATCTAGTCCATCTACAACATGACGAGGTGCTGGTTTACTCCATGTATTTCTGGAAAACCTCTGAACACTATCAATCAATGTCAAATACATTGTCTGGCCCTTGGGATTGGTTTTATTCATGGTGGTAATCTACTCATCTTAGCATAACACATAATATTTCTGCACTTCTAAAAGGGGGAATCCAGCAGAGCAAAATAATAGATTCTAAGAAATTCCAAGGGACAAGTAACTACACCAACATGCATCTAACAAATCTGACCTCAAGCTTGAATATGATAGGTTGTAGCAGCGCCCGTCATCAGAGTTCAAGCTCGCTTCAAGGCAACGTTGCATTGCATACACAAGTTTGTTTAATGTTCCTAGAATATCCGCTCACATTGTACTAAACGTTGGAAACTGATTTAAGGAGCTATCAGTGTACGTGTATTCCAAGATGTTCCACTGGGTGGTATCCCTCCTGCTTCTCGGATTTCATTCTCTTGTTTTGTTCATCGCAATCTCCTCAGTTTAAGTTGTAGTACAACTTCTAGTAGACCAATATATATACTAAATGGCTACTTTCGTCTGGTGAATCACTATATATATATATATATGTATTTATTTATTTATATATACACACACCAGACGAAGGTAGCCATTGAATAAAAGAAGAACAATTCCGTGCTAGACAAACCCACGTACTCTTGATTTTTCCTTGTAAATAGCACCGAATGATGTATAAAATCAATCGTCTATCAGCAGTCCCCTCAGCAATACTCGTCACGGTGTGACTGAGCATGGCATTGCACATGTCACAACTGTTTGTCGAGAATCTAATTATGCAATCGACCGTTCTGGGAACGACAATCTTCTATAACAGGAACATGCAAACAACATGGCCAATGAGGCAGGGCTTCTGGTTCGGCGCCCAAACCTGCCTGCCATGGTCATGGATGATCCAGAGAAGCCAGAAGAACTGTCATACTCCACGAATATAACTTCATTCGTCCTTCTCCATCACATGTGTCCGCCATACCCATCAATCAGCCGGCCATCATTCATACGTCCACAACACTGCTAACACGGCCACAAGCTTTATCAATCGAATTCCTGTAACTGGTTTTGGATCATATCCACCGCAAGAAAGTCCTCTTTGCTATATACCTCTCATCTCTAAATTCTACGGTTTTCCTTAAACCTTTGCCAATATTATGTGTCTTATAGCAAACCCGTAATGTTTCTTGTTTATATACTATGGCTGTAAGGACGAATTTCTCAGGGACGAGAAAAAATATAATGAAAATTTTCCCATGGATTCCTACTATTGGGAATTAAGGTCGCTCGAAGATGTTAAACATCCATGCCTGCTATTAACAGTCTAGTAACACTGCCAAGCTAAGGCCGCAATAGGCAAAAGAGATCTAACTAGACTTCTGATATATCACCATTCATGTTACCGTATCATGTTTTGATAGATAGATGGCCTTAGACAGATATAACCGCCAATTACAATAGCAGATTTTTTTTAAATACTTACCTTTCATACACTCTACCCTAAATTAAGCAAACATATAATACTTGCTCTCAAATCCATTAATCAGAATATCAGAACTGCAAGATTGATGTATTTTATATGGCTCCTTGCAATGACACCATGATAATGAAGGCTTGTTTTGAAACTCATATTCATAGTGGATAAAAAAAGTTTTAAATTTTATGTGAAAAACGCGAATAATTTGACCATCTCTTTCAAGACATTCTTTCTCAAAATGAAATTATATTTCCAGGTGTATAGTGTTCATTAATTGGCACTTTTTGTAGATAATTAGCACCCTTTTGTTTATGAAAAAAAGACATAGATTGCATTCTTGTTTGAGAAGATGAAAAAATTCAATCTCCTGAGGTATGAAATCACAGCTTCATATTATGCAATGTAATTTTTTCGAAATCCTTCTTCAAATAACATAAGATACTGTAAATAAGATCTTTTCATACATATATAACCAGTTCAGCTGTTTGTAATTACAAGTCGTGATGAGATATATATGAAAAATGGAAAAAGGCTGCAAAAAATACGTCATATCCGTGGTGAAATGTGTAGATATTTCAAAACCCATCATTTAAATTATAATTTGGGATTATCTCATCATTCAAAACTCCTTTCTACTTGAAATCTATATGTTTTAAAATTGTCTTCCCCGCATCAAATAAAAAAGCAACCACATTAAAATTTATGACACTCAAAGAATTTATGAATAGTAGTGTTAACTCTAACAACTCCTCTCGTTGATTAATTTTTTAGGAAATACGTGTTGGATGGTTAAAATGCTGTGAGTAGTATGAATTTTTTGTCAAAACATCAGTTATACTTTTGCAAATACAATGGATGAATTTTGTAAATTTTAAATTATGATATATTTATTCGAAGAATGTAGTATGTAGACTCGGACACCGTATCCAGCAGAAGTCAGACTCACTCCCAGTTACATTAGAGTGAAGTTATTTTCACTCTACATTTATAAATAGTATATTGTAAAACATTACTTCGATGAACTCTAACTCTGAAAACAATATTTTGCTCATGTAACCACGCGGTGACAAGTGTAGGACTTTAAGGGAAGGAGGTTGACAGAGAGAATGATGGAGTGCCTGGTTCGTGTTTTTTTCGATTTGCTCGCACCCTCGGCGCGAGGTAGAGCATACTAACATTCGGTAAAGTGACATCACGGATTCCGGAAATGGCAGCTGACTGGATTCAGTTTTTATTCAATTCCCGACGACACGATTGCCGCCGGCAAACATATTCAAGCCAGCCGCCACATTTCCACTGATTGAGGAGATGACAAGCCGCCTTCTTCGTTTATTCGTCTTCGTATGTTTCAACCAACCCCCAACCCCTCGTGTTTATTTCACGAGGCACCGGTGATCGTCCCACCCTTTTACTTGCTCGCCCGTGAATATTCAGAAATGTTTACTGGCCTTCAGAGTCTTTTCCAAAGGCTGCGATCCCTTGTCCTTGTGAGAAACTCGCAGGTCCGGTCATCGCCCTCCCATGTGTGAAGAAGATTCGACGAATAGAAGAATTCATCATGGACTGAGTCACTGAGCCATACCCTAACCTTGGCACGTGCACGTTCGTGTACGCAAACTCTGAGCCATTCAGAAGATCTTATGATACCACTCGGAACCAATGTGGCACTTTGTCCTCGTTGGCAGGACGAGGATGGTCTTGAGATTCGGGGTTCTTGTAACCCACTCCCATTCATTGTGTAGAACACTATTTTAATA